TGTCTAAGCCAAAAAAGATTCCTTTTGCTCATTTTTAYTGTGATCCTGGATAGAAGAATCTCTCCATACTTGAGAAAACTCTTACACAGTTTGGTAACACAAACCTGTCTCCCCTTTGGTTGCATGAAGCCAAACAATCTGACCTCTGTGGGTTTCAGGACTCAAATATTCAGGAGAACAAGTATAACTGGAAAATGTCTAGGAGAGACCTCGGGTGCTCTGCTCATGCATATTTGTTATCAGGAGGCTTGTGCAGTGTCCAGGGATAAAGWTACTCTTTCCATGTTTGGTCTGATCTGCTCCATCTCTCTTGCCCAGSCTTTACACCCTTCACTCCTGTAATCACACCCTAGTCCTGGCAAAATGATCCAGGTTATGGAAAAGCTTCCATTATAAAAGCTGTAACATGGACATAAAGGCATCTTGACTGAACTAGACACAGCAGCAATGGCAGCGCTGGCAGGGTGGGTAGATGGAGGCAGTCTTGGCTTGGCTTCAGCCTGCACAGGATGGGCATTGTCAGCTGAGCTGTGCAGCGTTGATGATAGGCAAGCGCCTCACCAGGCAATACAAGAGTAAAACACATCAGCTGTTTTGTTCAGGGTCAAAAAGCAAGCTGTGAATTTAGAGTTTCATGTACTCTCAGGTCCTTCTGGAGCAGTGTTCCGTGGTGCACAGACCCTGTGCATCGAGTTTGCTTGCAATTCAACTCTGTACCACCCTGGGTTGGCTGCAGCTGCTCAGGATGAGCTGTGTGCACAGTTTGYGCAGGGACATCAGCCAGGAGAGGGATTTTTGTAGCAGCATGCCAGCTGCTGTGTTAGGAGGCAGTGTGAATTGGAGTGACTTGCCAGAACTGCAGTACCCTGAATCGCAGCAGTCTTACCTTTTTAGCAGCACCTACACCCCTTGACTTTCCCTGATCCCATAAATGCAAGCAAAGGAGATGATAATTTTGTTGCTCAGATCTGGAAGTTGCCTCAACAAAGCAGCAGGTTCTCTCTTAGGTGCAGTATTGGGAGGGCATGAGGGAGCTCTGCACCTTCAGCCAGGAGTGACTGTGCTGGGATCCTGGAGTAGGATCCCAAGGTGGGATCCTGGAGTAGAGAAGCGGTTGTTAAATGTAGCAGTTTGTTCTGCCAAGTCGCTKCTTGAGCAGAGGACAAAGGTAGATGGTGGCATGAAGTCCTCACACCCTCTGAGCAGAGGCAGGGCTTGTGTTTAGGTTCTAAGGCAGTCCCATTCTCAGACTCCTGAAGAGCTGTTTCATCGAGAGAGAGAGCCTGCTGATGGGTGGGATGGATAGATTATGTTAGTTGGTAAAAGAAGGCAGAAATAAAGGTTGTTCTGGTGTGYAACAAAACTTCATTCCTCCAGAGATTCAGCTACCAGGCATAACATTTTTGTGGGGAAAAGATAACAAAGACCTTGTTTGACTTAGAGGCAAGGCAAAGTATTCTGCTGGTTTTTGGTTGTTGTATCTGTTTCTTACAGAAACCATCTTGGTGATGATTGTGAGAGAAAGAGCCGTCTGTGACTCGTGGTCACCGTGTCATCGTAGTCCTGTTCCTAAGTAATAATGATTTGCTCAGCTCTRGCTGTGCTGTTCATTGCAGATCTCYAAGAACTCTTTGGTTTTATTCCTGCTGAACAATTTAAAAGGCTGAGGCACAGAGAGGTGGGCAATTTCTTCTGCAGATGTATGTGGTACCTGCCTCAATAGCATTTATGTATCAGCAGCTGCTGTCTCCCTGCTGCAGCMAGGCTGTCGCAGTCGTGTCCCTGGCTCCCTTCCCTGCTTCCCCGCCTTACTGGTGCTCTTAATTTAATTTTGTAAGGYTTGCAGAGGGCTAAATTTGGGCCCCGGAGTGTTATTTTTAGAGTCTTGAAAATAGGCTAGTGTACAAAAAAAGATTTTTCTCACAGTTTAATGAACCATTTTTGGATTTTGAGGGGGAGAGGAAGATGTCAGTAGGWTGGAAGGGCTTTTCATGTCATCTCCTTAGTCGCAGAAGGAGCAAAGGGCTCATCCATGATACTGACGTCATCTCAGAGCTTCATGTGCATTGTCCCATACCATTCTTTCTCCTTGGTCTGTTTCCAAAACTGTTATCTACCCACTTCTCTTACCTGTGCATACTGTCCTTCAGTGGTGCCACAGATTTCTTCTCCTGTGCATACTGCCTGCATTGTCAGCCCCACATAGATTGCGTTCCAGCAACTCAATTTTAAGGAGCCATTGATGGAGGTGGATTTCAGGAAAATGCCTACATTCACTTCTTGGTTTCTGCCAGGATGGGTTTCAAGTGTCCATGTTCCAGCTAGAGGCTCATTCAAAATCTAGTGCTGAGCAGATTGTGCATAGACTGGCACAGCAGAGAAGTGTTTGTCCTGGGCTTTCTGAGCATATCTGTCTCAGCCTCTTGGGATGGACAACTGTTATCCAGGGGTTATGTGCTTGCACTGACTTTGAAATCATCATGGAGTCAGTGCTTTGTTACCTGAGAGACGTATTGTGCTGAAGTCACTTGAGGGGTGATGAAAATGAGTTTAGTCCTCAAGACCGTAGCAAAAAAAAAGACATGATAACATGATAACAGGGGAGGTAAGGAGGCCAACCTTGAAGTGCTGTACTTCCAGGAAGCCAGCCGTTCTGCTGCCCTGTGTTGAAGTGAGCATGGGCTTGGATTGCTAATCCTTTCCWCTGACCCTGAGGACATTTCAGAGAAGTGTGAGCAAGCAGATKGATTTTATTAGACTTAGAAGAGACAGTTTTTAAATTGAAAAAGCTTTCAACCTTGTCTTTACAAAATGGTGTTGACATGGAGGTCCTTGTCTTTCATSCTGCTTGCCTATTACTTCCTCTACTCCCCCACCTGCAGGACAGTGTTTCAAACCCACCTGAGCACTGCAAACTCTGCCATCTCAGCAGATGTTTGTCATACTGAGTGCTTTCCATGTATCTTACCTCATATTTGTTTTGGCTGAAGATACAACCCAGTCCCCCAAATGTTTACTGCTGGACATGCTCCCACTGACATCTGCAGGAGAGCAGCGAGTCCAGCTGTTGACCGAAGTGATCCTGGCAGCAGCTGCTGCCCGTGTGGGGTACAGCCCTTCTCAAAGAAGCTGTGATCATCTTCTGAACATGGAGCGTATTTTCACTAATGTCCTTCCAAGATAAAAGGCCAAAAAGATGACCACCACTTATGGGCTAATTAGCCAGAAGCCTCCATCTCATTTGTCATAATCCAGATGTTATCCTGCTAATTTCAGGGCTGTTACTCRAGCGCARAATTGGACACAGAGGAGTTGAGAGYGGGTCTACATCACAGGCTTTTGTCAGGGAGGCCCTCAGTCAGAGCTTTGATGGGGTGTGTGATCTTTGGCCAACACAGCTGTGCTGACAAGAAGTCCTCAACATCAATTTCTGCTCGTTATACCGGCAAAATCTTATTTTTACTGATATTGCTGATGTGGGGGAAGAGAAGCGTCCTGGMAAGTTTTTGCCAGTGTGAGTTCTGTCAATGGTGACCTCTCCTTGCTCATCCTGTGGAACCCAGCCCAGTTGCTCTGGCTGCCTCCCTGGTAAGACCTGATCTAAGTGGGTGYAGTTGTGAGGTTTCTGTTAGGAAGCTGGGACTGTGCTTGCTTTTATTATTAATTTTTTTCTAYGAGTCTTTTGAATGCATTTTTAAAAACGTACATCTTGTTCTCAAGAAGGCTTTGATCTTGTTAATCTTTTCATCTATGCATCAATCTGTTGTGTGAAAATGCTGGAATGTGCTCTTATTGTGGCAAGGGCTTTCTTTGGGTTTGTTTCCAATTTTTTTTTGCATAGTTTAGGGAATTTTTCTTCCCCGAGGCTCTCCCTCTGGCTTGATCCTACATGAAAGTTGACCACAGACGTGTCAGGTTCTAGAATGCTACTTTAGGCTATGTCTTTGAATTGTCTTTGCAGGGATTTCCTGATATCAAATTGAAACAATTTTTTCTCTTCCCTTGCATTATTAAAAAAAGAGAACATTTTGGGCAAGCCTGCACATTCAGTGGTGAGCAGCAGTGAGCTCTCTCTGTCTGTCTTCATGCCAACCTTGAACTCAAAGTTTTGTGGTTGCTATAGCATGAGGCAGACTCTGGGCTAACTTACCTGCTCTTTGTGTTAAGARGCTGAACAAACTGTGCTGCTGTGGTTATAGTCACGTGTCCAGTTCAAGGCAAGGACAACAGGATTAAATYCATCTGCRTTTGGCCACACAGACTTAGCCTTARTCTTGATCACTTWTATTTCATTTTCTCTCTCAGTTCTTATAGGTTTAGACCTCAGGTTATGCTTTCCTGGTTACAGCCGTGCTTTCCTAAAATGTCCATCTGCTCATGATAGCAGCTGTTCTTGTGAAAACAATTGTGTAAATGCAAACATAGGTCTGAGAAGAAATGTGGTATATCCTGTGGTATAATATGAACCCAATGGAAAATGAAGAAGGGCTCATTTGGCAGCCAAAAAAAAAAAAAAAAAAGATCAAAACTGTACCTCCTATATATGCCTATCAAAATAATATCTTTGTAACTGAGTGAGGTCAGGACTTTCGCAGTTGTGGGACCCTCAGTGAAGACAGTGGAGTGGCTAAGGTGTTCTTTTGAGCTTTCCTCAGTGTAAACTAGAAATTGCTYTGCTGAATAGTTGATAGCATCGTGGTAATAGCTGAGCACTTGAGCTGGRAAAGAAACTGATTCCTTTGGTTCTRTATATAACTGTGAGAGAATTTGACTTGTRATGGTGGTCTGGGCAGGAGAAGGTTGCAGCAGGAAAGGACACCTGGGAAGTGTGCTGCCAAAGCACTGAGCCTGGTGTTGACYTCTGAAGAGGCTGAGACACTAGGCAGTACTTCAAGGTCTTTGAATATTTGTTGTCCTTGATCCTCGTGACCTTTAAGTGTAAACTAAATGGTTTATGAAAATATAATGAATTTCTGTTTGTACTTGTATCTTTTGCCTAGGTCCTGAGGGAGACTAATAAATTGGCTGAAATGGAAGAGCCACCTTTGCTTCCTGGGGAAACAATTAAAGACATGGGTACGTGAAGAGCAAATTCCTGGTTGTTTGGTGACAAACAGTAGAATATCCATAGAGCAAAATATCTTGGTGGTYACTGACCAGCACCAGCAAATTGCAGATGTTTCGGGAATCATGACCAGATTGTTTCATTAATTGAGCTATTGCTCTCATGTGGGCCAAGGTAACTGCATCTCCTTTTAGCACATACCAAGCACAAAGCAATTCAATGCCCTTACCATGAGTGATGGRGTGAGTTGTACAGCTCTGCATTTGCTGCCTCCTGAGAGGACGACTGTTTCTGTTTGTCCTTGCCACAGGGTAACTTCTTAGGCTGACACAGCACAGTTGTGTGTTAAATCTCTGTCGTGTTCTCTAGAAAAGGATACAGTGCTTTTGCAGGGAACTTAATGTGATGGGGGATGGTTTTTTTCTTTTTTCATCCAGATGTTCTGACATGCGTTAAATTTGCTGATGCTTTCTATTCTGAAGGCTTGAGTAAGCCTCTTGATTAATTTTCTGTGAAAGATCTTGCATTCACTTTTTTAACATGTTGCTTTCCTCTTAAGGTGATAGGGAAGAGCGCAACTTCAGTCCTAAACATAAAAAATCAAAAACTGAAAATACCTTACCAAAAAATGCACCCAACAGCAACAATATAAAAACAAGCAAAGAAACCTCCAAACAACYCACCTCAATGATTAATCTTTTTCTCAACTTCTTTCCTAAGGTCTTTGAGCTCATACTCCATCCATGCACGGCAGACTGCYACCTAATTCACTCCACAAACACAGTGAGCTGTGACAGGGAGGCGGTATTTTGAAGGGTTCCTGGAGAAGGGTTTAAGAGATCAGAGTGACCACTTTTTTACCTGTTTGCCAATGCTGTGATGAGCCATGTAAATCTATATGACTGGGTGGCTTTTGGAGTAGCCCAGACAGCAGCTGCCTGTTCCAGCAAGAAGTTAAAGGCAGCAAAAAGGAAATCTTTGTTATTCATCACCAATAATTGTTTCCTGTTAAAAGTGTGAAGAAAGGCAAATGTAATTCTCCTTGTATTTTACRGGGAAGGGAAGAAAAAATCTTTTCAGCCAACCCAATAATCTAGGGTAAKATTGGCCTGTAAAAGACAGGAATTCCACAAGCAGGGGAATTAATAAATCTGGTTTCCAGTTTCTTTCTCCCATATGTATTCTCTTATACATACCAAAGGCTGAGCTCATTAGGCTTTCCCRTGGTGATAGCACTACTACAACCTCTCTATTATACCTGGCATTTGCTCTCACAAACAGTGAAGCACTTTAATGCCTTGGAGATCCCTGTTTATCAAGTAGAGACTGCTGAAATCATACAGCTGTGGCAGGGTTGAGGTCAGACAAGCGATGTGTGTAGATGCATTTGTACATGCGCAGTTTAATTAAGTAAAATTGTTTCCTTAGGAAACCAGGCTAATAAAATGCAAATGTGAAAGGTGGTGTGGCTTACAAGCTGGCAAGGCCAGTGTTTTACATCATGCCTGGGGTTCCTTACCTGGAAAACATTTTTCTAGCACTTTCCTCTTTACCCAGAAATCCTATTCCTTTTCAGATGTAAATGCACGCTTTTCTTATTAGTGGATTTTGCTGAGGTTTTTTTAAACATTTTGAAATTACATTTTGAATAATGGGAACTCCAGTGGAAAAACTAGGCAGGCTGCCCTCACCCTTGTTATGCTTCCTGAGCCTGCTTTCAAACCTCTGTCAAACTAGTCTTTGAAAAGAAGTGATTAATAATAGGCCACTAATGAAACACTTGGTTTAATTAGAAATGGCTATAAGCATTTYGTGTTTAATTGTCCTTCTAACAAATGCATGTAAACTTACATAAGTAAATAAATAATGGAATTACTAGCACGTTTTTGATAGATATGTATATTTTATTTCTTTTTAGCCAGATATTGTGTGCTACAGGTTTTGCTCTGAATTAGTCACTTCTGATATTTTAAGCATTCTTCTCCACATCCAGATCTCGAGAGTCARTGAAGACTATGCAGAAGCAGAGCTGACATGAAGATGATTTAGTATAGGAGTTGCCAGTCCCCTGGAATAAGGCAGACTTCTCTCTCTCCCTCTGGGCTAAATCTCATGGGATAAAAGTGGAAGAAATTTAGGTTCCCATGCTGCCACTCCAGTAGCCTCACACCTCATGTACATGGTRGCTGTCTCCTGTATGGGAGGTGAGCCATCCTCCTGACACAGCAAAATGTGTCCCCTAGGGCTCAGAGGCTTGAAGTTTTTCAGATGATTCAGAGAGTTCTTGCATGGATCTGACAGCTCTGGTCAGTGGGTCTCCTCTGTGTTTTTGAGGGGTATCATTACTTGTTGGCAATAGTATAAACCATTGCCACAACACAGCCTGCCAACTTCTTCAGTGGCAGAAGACGTGAGAGGCAGCAGAGGTGGGGAGGCAGCAACTTAAATCTTGGCATTTTTAATTGATATAAAACAGAAGGGCAGTTAGGAGAGGTGTTTGCTGTGGAAAGCCAGCAGCACCTCTTGCCTTTTGCTGGAACGAGTGAGAAACATTTGAGGCCTTTTAAGAAGGGGACTGTTTTGAGTCACCGTCACTCTGGCTCAAAAATAATTGAATTCTGCAGAGTAACTTGATCACCGACTTCAGACCTAAACTCACTGTCAGCTGGGTGTTACACAGATTCATGGCTGCTGCAAATCATTGTAGCCCTGCTGGCTTTCAGCATGAGGGCTTTCATCCCAAGGCTGACTCCATGTGCAAGGGTGTGCAGAAGAACCCAGGCATCCTAAAACCCACATGTACGAGAACTGCCTTCTCCTGTCCCTGATGGCACAATCCTTAACTTTTATGGGGATTGCTGTCAGCTTCAAATGTGTGCATCCGGRCAGGAGTAATCTCCTCTTTTCATGCATGATGTCCTCAGCTACRGAGGGAGTGAGAGCAGTTTGCACCAACACTGGCCTGTTAAGAGGGGTAGCAGTTTTGTGCAAATCTAGGATTCTGGGTGATGTTACTATTTCTAACAAAATTTTTACCTTCTCCACAGAACTGAAACTAGTATGTTAGCTCTAGGCTAGAACTCCAGATTAAGATCATTTAATTTAATGATCTACAAAGCAGAACCCCCAAATATTGTTGGTGGCATAATTTTTCTCCTATAAATTAACCATGAAATTAACAACTTCTTTTTTTTTTTTTTTTTTTTTAAGCTAAGGATGTTACTTACATCTGCCCCTTCACTGGAGGTATCAGAGGAACCCTTACTGTTACCAATTATAGACTGTATTTTAAAAGCATGGAACGGGTAAGCTTTTGGAATAATCTGCTTTTGTTACCATTTCAATCGGTATACCTAGGTGTTGTTTGAGAGTATTTCTGTGTGAAATGTGGCTATATGTTTGGGAGCATGAGCTGAGGACTTTTCCCGCTCCCCTTTTTAAACTCACAAATTTCAACTGTCTACAGGACCCTCCTTTTGTCCTAGATGCGTCTTTAGGTGTAATCAACAGAGTGGAGAAAATTGGAGGTGCTTCCAGTCGTGGCGAGAATTCATATGGGCTGGAGATCGTATGCAAGGTAAACTTTTATCTCTGTTTTGCAACAAGGGAAGGGGAAAAAATATTTTTAAAGCTTTTCTCTGTAKTACTGCAGGAAGTCCTGCAAAATGTTTCAGTCAGTATGACTTCACAGGTGTCAAAAAATGTGTGATTTTAAAAGTAGTTTTCAGTATTCTCCAGCTCCGCTCATTTGAGATGAGGTCCAGACCTTTACTGAGGCTTTGTCCTGGGCAGTGGGTTTTCTTCATCATGGAAGYGCAGGCCTGTTCTCAGTTCTCAATAGCCCACCAGACTATTCCAGGTAGACTCCAGGTATTGTGGAATACAGTAGGCCTTTCAATCATTTGCATTTCAAGAGCAAGAAAGGAGCACATTTTTCCCCTTAAACATKAGGTCATGTCCACCTACTGTTGTGCTTTGCTGTGAGGGACTGGTGAATAGCCTTCAGTCCTCATCAGGGCTGTTCTTTCATTTCTTTCAAGGTAGTACATATTTCACATATCCCTCTCAAGAGCCCTTGGAATACCTGGAAATACAAACTGCTGTAAAAATTAACAATTTGCCTCCACATGTCTGCTTACTCTAGGCCCACAAACTAGATGAAACAACTATCTCCCGTCCTAAATCCATATCTCTGGATGTCATGGCCCCTCTGCTTCCCTCAGTGACCACATAGGAAGAGCTGTATTCAGAACCTTGTAGGTCTTGGGCTGCTTAGATCTTGTCAGAGCCCCTCAAGGCTAAAAGGATGCCACTTGCTGGATGAGAGCAGATGGAGCAATGAAAAGGAGTTCCTAAAGTGCTCTGGTCACTGCTGTGATTTTGAGGCACCAGGAAGCTAAGCAGACTGTCAAGCTGTGGGTGTGCTGAGTCAAGACCAGTTGCTGCAATCTGTACCACATCATCCAGCTGCTCTCCTGTTGCAGTCATAATCCACCCTGGCTAGCACAGGGTGGGGTGCTTGTGCTGGCAAGCTAATTTGTTCCCTGTTTTGATCTGGATTCCTGGTCCTCAGCTATTTTGTCTGTAGGCACACTTGGTCAGGCTTGGAGTGAACTGTATTGTTTCCCTGGGTGGAAAACTCAGCCCAAACTATAGGATGGGTGGGGTTGGCCCTTTATAGCGTATTTATATATGTCAGCTTGTTTCACCAGAATGTGCACAGCAGTTTAGTGCAGTAACAGAGTGGTGCAGGTACAGCTTATGTATCCTGAAAAGTTCTCTGTCTGACATCAATCACATACTTGTAAGGAAGAAAAGTCTTCAGCTGTTTATCTCATTCTCTGAGTTATTCTACTATCTTCATGATGTTGAACTTGATAGCTCATTTCCTGCTGATGGCTTTTAGACTCACTCTACTACAAGCATTTGAGTTGGAGGCTTGGCTGTAAAAACCTTAGAGATGCTTTATTTACTTTCCAAATTTGGTTTAGTAGATGACTATGGAAAGGAGGTCCTAGATGACCACATTTTGTGAAAATTGGGCTGCTGTGCAAAGTGGAGRAGTTCTTGGTTTCAAGACATGCTCTTGGGTGCTCTGAGAGATGGAAGCTTTAAAGGGAAATGGCATTGGATGCTTTGCACCCAACTGGCTGTCCTTGGGCCCCCTACATGCAATAGATCTGAGGAGGTACTTTGTTAGGCCATCCCCTGCAGTGGTCTTGTGGCACTGCTTGGCATGAGAGCACAGTGAGAGCCAGGAAAGTCTGTCTCACAAAGTCCTGTCGGTCAAACATAGCTTGTCCCTGAGTAGGCTCTCCTTAAGACTTTCAGCAGGTGGAGAGTTTCATGTGAAGGCAAGATGCTGTGGTCAGGCACAGCTGTGCCCTCCCTCAGCTGCTCTGCAGTTGTTGGAGGCTGCAGACTACCCCTGAATCAACTGTTCAAAGTACAGTATTAAATCAGTACTAGAAAGAACACTGTGGTGTGACCCTGTTTTGAATCCTGGCTTTTGGATTTTCCTTGGATTTTGAAGTGGTTCAGGAATTTGTAATTTGATTTCCCTCCTTTTTTCCCTAGGATATTCGAAATTTGCGGTTTGCTCATAAGCCTGAAGGGAGAACTAGACGATCCATATTTGAGAACCTGATGAAATAYGCTTTTCCAGTTTCAAATAACTTGGTAAGTGTTTTCTCTTCAGCTTTTGTCAAAAGACACAGAATAGCAGTAAACTGTTTTGTTCTGTCCCATCTACTTAATGCAGCATTCACGTGGGGTGCATTTTCTTGAAGGAGAAGGGCTGTTTTTCAAATCTGTTTTAACTTCATTCTGTAGCAGTTCGATCCTACAGGAAGCAGGAAATGTCTATTACTGTGATGCTTCTTCCATGCATGGGCAATGACTTACTGTTAAAGCCTTGTAGCAGAGGGAAAGTACTCAAATCATAGTGACATCCATAAGAGGTTTACAGCTAATGGTGACTGCACTGCCCCAAACCGGGAATGCCACTCTTCTGTTCTCTAATGTTATGACACTGCAATTGTTGTTTCAAATGCTGGTTTTTAGTATGTAAGAGCATTCTTGCCTAAGCTGTTTTATCTTCTYTCTTTATTAATAAATTCCTTCTGTCTATAAATTACTAGGTAATAGCCAAGCAAGATCAGGGACATATTGGAAAGTATATTGTTGTACTAATTACCTGCTACAACTAAAGCGTTAATCTTTTTTACAAGGCCCTAGAAGAAAAGTGGTGCTGTGGGGAAAAAGAAGGGTCAGTCATGAGTTACTGTTTGAGATATCAAACATCCTGTAAATGAGCTCTGAGTGGGCTCTTAATGGTACATTTTCTTTCTTTCAGCCACTTTTTGCCTTTGAGTACAAAGAGGTTTTCCCAGAAAATGGATGGAAAGTGTATGACCCAACTTGGGAGTATAAAAGACAGGTGGGTATTGTGCCACATCCTTCCTCARCCTCTCTGCTCTTCAGGAGTGAGGGTCTGTGCAGTGATATAATTACAGGTCACATGGAGCAGGGAATGATCCTGCTGACAAATGCCGTGCAGGCTGGGTTAGGATGATGTTCTCCAYKCTGYAGTGATTGATGAYAGCAGTACAGCTTTAGAGATAGTARCATCCMCTGATGGACATCAGCCCAGGCCACAGAGAGCTGACTTTAGGCTCTGGTAGAAAAAGGTAATGCTCTGGCTTAGTGACCAAGTGCTGCTGGCAGTGAGGAATGGAGGGTGCATGTTCCAGGTACAGGCATCCCATTGTTGAGTTTCATTCCACAGTGCTTGCTTGTATTAGTTTTAATTCTTTCCAGGTTTTTCTGTCTTAAACACCAATTTGATAGAAAAAAAAATAAGTGTAGAATGCCTTCACTATCCTAGGCATGGCTTCTCGCCATGGGGATAAACCTAGAGAATGCTGTGATTTACCATAGCTTAGAACACACAGYTGTAGTGTATCCCAAGCAGACTGATCAAAGGTACTAATGATCATAATGTAACAGGCTGTCAATTTAGAATACTGTGGTAAAAACTTGAGTAGTCCTCTTGGGGGTAAAAGATGGGAGAATTTTGGGTTTTATGATAAAATCATTCCTGTCATAAAATTCTCGAGTAGAACAAAGACCACAATTTAGTGACACATTTGCCCTGGACACAGTAAGCTTCTGTCTCCTCCAGATCTGCCAGAATAGGACCAGTTTTTCAYGTAAAATTAAGAAATTTTAAGCCATGTATTTTAAAGATTTATTTGGGTCTTTCTCATTAAATGAAACAAAACCAGACCTCTGTCCTAGACTCATTGCTCATCTGATTCCTGGAATCCAAAACCTAAGGATTCTCATTTTTCTAGCTCTAGTCTTCTAAAAGCTGGGCATGCCTTCTAAATTGGTTATCTAGGCCTGTCATTAACAGATGGGAGAGAGCGCTTCACTGTTGGGGGTGATTTGTTCTCTCCTAAAATAGCTGCCTAAGATAGATTGCTGGCTTCTAGGCTGCTAATGGGAAGTGAGATGTAGCTTACTGTATCTCACTGTATGCTGCCTTCATTGCAAAGAAGTGTGTATTTTGCAATGAGATGCCACAATCTAAAATCCTGGTTGAGACAAACTCCAATCATTCGTAATCACTTTGTATCTAAGGTCAACTTAAGACCAAATAATGCAGCGATTATTGCTYTGTGTAGAATTTACCTTTCTTGGTAATTATTTTATGGGAAGATCTGCTTGTAGAGAAGGATTTGCAGCCCAAGCTGTTTCAACAAGATGCTTCTTTATMGGGCTGAGAATTTTGGAGCAACGACTAAAGAATACCTGTGCTGTGAAAATAATCTCCTCTAAAAAACACAGCATTTACTTCGCCAGGTGTCAGTTAAAACAAGTGAAGTACAAAAGACATTTTTAGAACACCTGGAAAGAAGAAAGGGTAACCTTAGATAATTTCAGTGTAAAATACTTCACTTTCTTAATCCTGGCATGTGGGTTTTTATGTTATAAGCTTTTCTGTCTGTATTAGTATAGGATACATGTATTTGCATGCATGTGACTTGCAACTCTTCAAGGCCTTTCTGTAAAAAAAAAAATTGAGTGCATGATGCAGCTAAGACATTGCTGTGGTGTGTACTTATGCTGTGGCCTGCTTTTGTGTTGTGAGTGGGAAGGACAAACTTTTCCTGGCTGTTTCTGTGTCAAAAAACCAAACTAGTGTCGGCATGCTGAAGCCCTCAGTCATTTCCTTACGTTGGTAACTGCTAAAGTGAATCCAAACCAGGATTTTTTGCAGATGCAGCCTATCTGGGTTTCACCCGTGGTGGACCACAGTCACTACCATTCCAGATCACATAATCCATCTGTTCCAGTTCCTTATCTCCAGAAGTGACCGATGCCACCTGCTGAAGAAGAGGCAGACTATATTGCAGTAGATGTTTATATTGTGATCTGGCCAGGAGGAGAATTTCATCCCTTTTCTTAGATTGATTTAGRTCCTGTAGCATGATGCTTTATGTCCCCTCCAAAACTTTTAGGTATTTCAGTCTGTTTATTTAATTCCAGCATTTGTAACTATGGATGTTCAATTTATTTGTGTGAGTGTCGTAGYCTTTTTTCTTAATCCAACCAGGTTCTGCTAAAGCAATAACAAATACTACAGTAAATCAGGATTATATCTTGAAATGGCAGCAGGGATTCATTAACAGTGAAACAAAACTGGCATCATCAAATCAGATAATGGGATTACCTGTCTCTGACTGTATGAATTGTGATCCGAAATAGAAAAGCAGGACATATGCACTGTCAGCAGGACCTTCTGGAATTGGTTTAAAGACTGTTAGAGAAGAGCTGGCCTAGGGCATTAGCAGCCCAGCAGTGTGGCCAGGCGTTAACTTGCTATGTCTCAGGCCAGGTCAGTCTTTTTTTCTGTGGGAGCAGGGACACAGGGAGATGGGAGTGGAGCAAAAGTAAACTCCAACCACAAGGCATCMAGAAAAGATTTTTAGACCAGGATCCATGGTAAGATCTGTGTCCACACGGGCAGACATGGCAAGTTTGAGTGTGGTGTGATTTATTTATTGTAATTTTTMTTAGCGTTGATATGATAGCTATTGTAACAATTAGGAAAGATACTCAGTAAACCCCTGCCTTCCCTGTTAGCATACTTGGGAAAGATGGAAATACGTAACTTATTAAAAATCTGTGATTGTGTAAAACTATGGGGAGTAATAAACAACCTGTAGAGAACAAAAGGAACTCAGAGAGGTTTGAGATTTACTTGGTAAATGGAATCACATGTGGCAAATGAAATTTAAAACTGAAATTGCTCCCTGATTTTTATTACACATGGGCTGGCAGAGTATAAAACAGAATTACAAAGTGAATAAGACTCACTTGAAACTAAAAGTCCTTAAGATGCCTTTGGAGTAACTTAGAGCTTTATTTTCCTTAATAAGGTGGGGAGCATTTGGAAAATATTATGAGAGGTTGTGAAGTTGTGTGATGTTTCCCTACAAAATTCATTCTTGTCTTAATATCCTATGCTCTGGTCATATCTACCAGAGAGCTGCARTGTAGGGCTGTGGTTGCTGCTTTCAGAGAACACATGTAGAAACTAATAACTCAGAAGAACTGACCTGTTTTGAGGATAAAAGAAGTGCCCAGYATTAGTATACAAGCAGAGTGGGAAAGGTAGAGCATTATATCATCCTACAGAGGACTGTTGGGTGTAACTTAGGGGACTAAAGTGAGGATTGAACTGTTAAATATTCYATGGTTTAACTGAGGTCCTGCTTATGCTGGGTATGTCTCTACTGCAGAACAGATCACAGCTCTCTGGTACTGAGTGGACACAGCCTGGCTCAGTACATGGCAGAGGAACCAGCTTGGCTCTGCAGCTGTATCCTGTGTTGGTGCACGGATGTGCCTCAGCCAGGGTGCTCAGCCTCTTGGCATCTCATGGCTCAGACCAAGTTTGAGAGGGGTGCTGCTGGTGTAACTCASGACCCTCCTTGCCTTGCCTGCTCCAAATCGAGGTGCACCTACATATCTAAGATCAGAGTGGATATGCTGGTGTGGCTTCAACAGTTTTTCCCTGCAAACAAAGAAATTCTATCTTCTRTAATGCATAAATCAAGTGATAACTGAGTCCAAGTCATTAAAKTAAGGCATGAATGACTATCTAGATGGAAACCAAGTCTGGTTTGTGTGTGGAGAGCACACGAAGSCTGTGTCTCTATGGTTTGATGATATAGTTGCAAGGAATGTTCCCAAGCACAGACCAGGCTGTTACTATCCCTCTATTGCGTGAGTGTGTTTGAGCATCTCTAGCCACTCACAAAGATACTCTGACACAAGACAAGGATCAGCAGCAGGCAGTTTGGACAGACTGTCCTGTTTGGAGGATAAACAAGTTTAATAGTACGGTTGTGAGGTGTGTTGGWTCAGCTGGGCTCAGTGAGAACAGTTACAGGTACACTTATGACAATAGATGTGGCTTTGCTGCCTTCCTTGGTGTGCACCCTGGCAGCCACCAGAGGTGTGAATTCACCTAGAACCAGGGCCTACTGGCAGCATTAGTTTACCTGAAGAAGCCAGACCTGTGCAGAAGTCTCTGGTCACTAACGTGGCCATGCCATGTGCTCTGTTGGTTTCAGGATGTTCACAGACTCCTGTTAGTGAGGCATGCCTGAGCTCCTCCTGCAGGTGCACAGGCAGGCAGCTACCAGAGCCCCTCCTTAGCCTGCAGAGGCTTATGAGTTACATCTGTWACAGTTTGGTTTGATAGTAGGCTTTTGGGTGCTTACAACTACCAGGAAGCAGTGAAATGCATCTTAGATGAGGAAATACCAGTGTGCTTTAAATCACGTTTAGCTTTTTCTATTGATTCCAGCTGGAGAAAGGGCAGATCTGAAGGAGCACGAATAAATGCAGAAGCTACACTGCATTATGGCAAACATCCAAGGAAGATGCAAATTCAGCTTCTCTTCTAGGCCACTTGGCTTATTTCTTTTTGCTTCTAGTCCTTAGAAAAAGTCACGATCCGARTCATTCTGGGTGGTGCTGTGATTCAAGGCTCCTGGGCCAGGGAAAAGCTGACATTCCTCATGAGTCAAAGACAGTTTGAATGCTGACATACTGTGCCTTTTCTTTCTTTGGGGGCTTGTCATGGATTTTTCTGGTCTGGGCTATCACAGAGGAAAGATTTCCTTCAAATTTGTCATTGTGGCAGCTGGAAGACTTGGAGCTTTGGAGGGCTTTAGAGCTCAATTCTGGCCCAAGCAGTGTGTGCTGAAGCTGCACTGCCCAGCACTTTGAAGAGGGTGCTTTGCTGCTTGGTCTTCACCATGACCATTGGTAGAGTTGCTGGGTATAATKAAAAGGAGCCTTTCTTCCATGCAGCTGCTTGTTAGTCCCATTTTCCTTGCCAAGACTGTGCTGACAGTGTAGTTTTCATTCAAATTAGAGGGAGGTGAAATTTCCAGGAATTGCTTATGGATCCATTGCATGTACTTRTTAGGACAGGACTGAGAACTAAGCTGCCATCAGTCCAGTTCCAGGTAGTAATCAGCTTGGTCCCTGGCAAGAGTCTTGCTATTCCCTGGCTGGCAGCAGAGCTGGCGGACCCAGCAGATTCCATCCTTGCTGTGTACAGCAGGTAGGSCTCTGAGAATGTTTTACCCATCAGTAAGCTTCAACTGTATATACATCCTGCTTGATGCCTGTTTGCCATTTCTTTGGCTTCGGGCAGTGCCAAAAATAGCTTTCCTTCAGGCTTTTGGGGTACTCGTGATCCTTGTAGTAACATTTCCTCCTCAGGGAGGGCCAAAGGACAGCAGTGGTTCACAAGCAGGGTGTGTGACTGATCTGAGACAGAAGGTCTGGCCTCCCCTCAGATTTCTAGCCATGACCTCTTTTGACAGCGTGACTCACCACTGGGCTGGCCAGCAGGCTGCAGTCTGTGTGGGTCAGCCATAATTATCACAGCTCGTCTGACTCCTGTTAGATTTGTCGCTTATTTCCTGTGGGAGCCGYGACAGTGCTAATCAGTGTCCCACCACCCTCCCTCAAAGTGAAGTAGTGTTTATTAGAACAGAGGCATGCATTGTGTTAAGAGTTGATGTTCCCCTAAAACGCACTCTGTGCTTCACAGCCTGGCCATGTTTGTTGCAGCAGATGTGTCCTCGCACAGAGATGCTTTGTGTCGGAGCTCAGCCCTGCTGCAGCACATGTCTGTTTGAACCTCTCCTTGCAGGCAGCTGCACCAGCTGCTCCATGTTGCTCTGTTCTCCCCCAGCATCATCCAAACCATGTCTGCAGGTTGTGAGGATCATCCCCATYGTGCTGCAGGTGTTAGCTGGAGGTTGTTGTCTGGGAAGCTGTTCAGTGGCTTCCCATCAGGGCACATGAGCTCAATGATGTGTGTGGAGATTCCCTGCACTCCCAGCCCAAGTCCTCAGTACAGCTGGAGAGCCTAGTCTGACAGAAACATGGGAGTTGCACATCATATACAATCATGCAACCAGAGACATACCATTAAGTTTTTGGTGTTTTTAGAGGTTTGCACAGTTGTGCCACAAACACTGAACAAAGCCCAAACCAGGCTGTTTTTTTGGGGGTGTTTTACTGCATGTTCTCCCTTCTGCCCCTCCCTCCTTCCTGTCTGGTAACTCCACTTTGTATCCCCAGTTTCTTCTCATAACATTTGAACTAAGTGTTATGAGAAGAGTGAGTTGGTCACCCTTTCTGTCCTGCTCCTGACTCTCCTGTAAGCCCATGATGAGATCAGGAGGTCTCTTAGAGGGGCTCAGGGGCACCACCTGTGTTGCTACACCTGTAGCCTCCACAGTTCCTTTGCCATAGGTGACCCTGCCTGAAGTCCAGTTTCCCTACTCTTCAGTGACTTGAGTAAAACACCCACCTCTCCGGGGAGAGACAGGAAATGCAAGTTACCAAGATAATGCATTCCYAGGTGCCAGCCCTAAATGTCCTTCACTAACAAAAGTTGCCTTGAATTTCAGGTCCCAGGTTTTGATTGTGCTGAGGTCTCAGAGTGACTCATTTGCTAACATGTTGTTTCCTCTTTAGGGAATTCCCAATGAAAGCTGGAGGCTGACCAAGATTAATGAACGCTATGAGCTGTGTGATACATACCCTGCCATTCTAGCTGTGCCTGTAAACATTCCCGATGAGGAATTAAAGAGAGTGGCATCCTTCAGATCAAGGGGACGCATACCAGTGAGTGGGACAGAAGAAGCCACTTTGATGTGGTTTTGTTACACATACCTTTGGGCMATAAGTAATACCGAGATCAGACTGAGTGAATTCCAGGGACCAAATAAATGTTCAGTGGATAATAAAAGTGACAACAACATGTTTGAGGACATAGAAAACAACAGTATCTGCTGAAACCACTGTTGTGAAAGAGATGTAGACTAAACCAAAATTAGAAGATAAGATAATTCAGCAGAATAGACCAAATCTCAGTTCAGTTCCTGGGAAACACAAAGCAGCCCTGTTTGGCTGTTTGCAATTGTGTGGCTTACTCTGACTTTCAGAATAGAGGAATACRTAGCAATACTCTTGATGAGGGTGCTTATTAAATGAAATTAAGACTAATCACATTGTTGTGATGATTATTTCGGAGATAACTGAAAAAGTACTGGTTTACTTCTCAAGTCTATGGAAAAAATGAGTCTTTTCCTGAAGTGCTTAACTTTTACATGGTGTGGCATAAAGTACGACATATCCCATGTAGTGACTCACACACCAGCCAGAAAAACAKTCTGCATCACATTTTACAGTCAGAGTTAAACTATTTGATCACCTTTTGTTTAAAGTTAAAACTTTGGGAATGCCACCAGAATGAATAAGGACAGAAGAGTTCTTTTTTTCATTCAATTGTGATTTAATAGAATCCAGCCTTCTGGAACCTGCTAACACAGGATCCCAGAGCAAGCCATTACAGGTAATTCACTTCACTGGTTTAATGAATCCCATTTTTCCTTAAATTTATTTCCCATTTGTTTCTGAAGGTCTTGTCATGGATTCACCCCGAAAGTCAAGCAACGATCACTCGCTGTAGCCAGCCCATGGTGGGAGTGAGTGGCAAGCGAAGCAAGGAGGATGAAAAGTACCTTCAAGCCATCATGGATTCTAATGCTCAGTCCCATAAAATCTTCATTTTTGATGCAAGGCCTAGTGTGAATGCTGTAGCCAATAAGGTCAGGTACCTTTTCTTCTGCTTAAAACTGGTAATGTAGTAATTTAGAGCACATTTCCCACCACCATTTCATATTATTCTTCAGAATCACAAAAGGGTGTTCCACTGCAAAGGAAATCTGCATGCAATGATCTGATTCTCTAGACAGACTTTTATACCTGTCGCTATCCATGTGACTACTAACGATCCATTATATTAATCTACAGTGGGAAATGAGATTGGAAGGGGAAAAATACTGAAGTAGTACTGAGGTCAGATTCCAGAACCCTGGATTTTGTGTATCACCATTTTTCAATTTACATGGTTGAAAGACTGCTTCCTCTAACAGCCCAGAACTTTGTCCCTGCTMACTGTGATGGGAGCAGAAGATACTCAGCACTTCTGAAAACCAGGCATCGGGATTTTTAATTTTAAAATATAACTGGGTATTGCTAATGTCAAGGAATGTTGCTGTGTTCTTTCTACTGTTATWGAATCATAGAATTATTTGGGTTGGAAGGGACCTTTATAAAGATCATCGAGTCCTACCCTCCTCTGCCATGAGCAGKGACATCTTCTGCTAGATCAGGTTGCTCAGAGCCTTGTCCAGCCTAACCTTGAATGTTTCTAGGAATGAAACATCTACCATTGCTGTGGGAAACCCTTATAATGAAAAATTTATTCTTTATATCTAGTCTGAATCTACCCTTTGTTACTTGCAAACTATTGCCCCTTGTCCTGTCACAATAGGTCCTACTAAAACATCTGTCCCCATCTCAYTTATAAGCCTCCTTRAAGTACTGGAAGGCTGCTGTAAGGTGTCTCCAGCACCTTGCCTTCTCTGCCYTTCCTCACAGGAGAGGTGTTCCAGTCCTCTGATAATCTAAGTGGATTTGCTCCAACAGTTCCATGTCTTTCCTGTGCTGGGACCCCAGATGTGGATGCAGCACTGCAGGTGGGGTCTCTCCAGAGCAGAGCAGAGGGGMAGAATCCCCTCCCTGGCCCTGCTGCCCACGCTGCTTCTGGTGCAGCCCAGGACAGGTTTGGCTTTCTGGGCTGTGAGTGCACATGGCTGGCTCATGTCCAGCCTCTCATCCACCAGCACCCCCAGATCCTTCTCACAGGGCTGCTCTCAATCTGTCCATCCCTGAGCCCATGGTGATACCAGGGGCTGCCCCAACCCAGGTGCAGCACCTTGCGCTTGGCCTTGTTAAATGTCATCAAGTTCCCATGGACCCATTTCTTGAGCTTGTCCAGGTCCCTCTGGATGGCATCCTGTCCTTCAGGAGTGTCAGCTGTAYCACTCAGCTGGGTGTCATCTGCAAATCTGATGAGGGTGCTCTTGATCCTTTTGGCTTTGTCATTGATGAAGACCAAGTTAAAGAGCACTGGTCCCCATACGGACTCCTCAGGGACACCACTTGCCACTGACTGGACATTGAGCCATTGGCCACTATCGTCTGGCTGTGATTATCCAATTTCTCATCCATCAAACTGTCTACCCATCATCTCCAATTTAGAGAAAGATGTTGTGGGGGACTGTGTCAAAGGCTTTACAAAAGTCCAGGTAGATGACATCCATAGCCCTTCCCTTGTCTGCTGCTGTARTCACTCCCTCATAGAAGGCCACTGGRCTGGTCAGGCAGGACTTGCCCTTGGTGAAGCCCTGCTGGCTATCCTGAATCACCTCCCTCTCTTCCATGTGCCTTAGCACATCTTCTAAAAGGATCTTTTCCATGATCCTCCCAGGCACAGAGGTCAGTAATTTTCAGGGTCCATCATTCTAACTGTCTAAAATTTGTGTTCCATGCCATCTTGTTAAGCTTTGTTTTAATGATGGAGCTGATTTGTTGCACTAAAGCTCCTTTTTTTTTTTTTTTCCAATCTGCCTTTCCCACTGCTTAGGAAAGGCAATTAGTGTGTGGGTTATACTCCTCGATAATAGTATGGTAAATTTTTAAATGATAGAATAGCGAATGTAATGAGTTAGCAGCTTGAATGGGGATAAATGATAATTACAGAGGAAAAGAAGGCCTGTAATGTGATATTCTTTGGTAAAAGATTGTAGAATTCATTAGCTATTGCAGAAGAGAGATGCGAAGTGTGGCCCTGTACATGTTTGCTCCCAGTTGTAAAATAAAGCCAATGTTTTCTGCCCTTTTTAGGTAGTCCAGTAGTCCAGTGGTATTTTGTCAGGTGCTATTTGCTCAGGAAAAATGACTGGGATAAAGTATAAAATACGTTTTTGCTTAATGATTTGTATGTKAATTTTGTTCTTCAGGCTAAAGGAGGGGGCTATGAGAGTGAGGATGCCTATCAGAATGCAGAATTAGTGTTCCTGGACATTCACAATATTCATGTTATGAGAGAGTCRCTGAGAAAACTGAAAGAAATTGTATATCCCAACATCGAGGAGACTCATTGGCTCTCTAATTTAGAGTCAACTCACTGGCTAGAGCATATCAAGGTATGCATGTCTGCATCTACTCACTGCATGTGGTGGAGCAACCACAAGTCCTTACCAGTTTGTTCACTGGGAAAGATATCAAGCTAGCTCCAGGATTTTCAATTCCTTGCAAATTTAAAGACTTACAATTTGTTTTCCATTTATAAGCAACTAAAACCATAATTTTTTGGAGTGAGGAATCTTATAGAGGTAGGAAGAGAGACAAGACAAGGGGCTGAAATATTGAAAGATGGTGTTTTGGAAGTGAAGGCTGTTCCTGCTTGATACATAACTGTGAAAACTCTGCTTAGAGCTCAGGAGTCACRGAGTTTCCAAGCTCTTTACTCATGTCCTTGACATCCTGGTGTCATTACCTGAAATGAAAATGCTGGGAATCTGTACCCTGTCAGCCTTTCAGGAATCCAAGCAGAGTCAGAATRAGGAGGCAAAATGTTTTGGTTTCTACAGACGTTGGTTTTCAAATGAAGTTCTTTCTCTTCTAAAAGTGTCCAGCTTACACTGGTGCTCTGCTGATGCAGGCAGGGGCAGACCTGCTCCTGGGGCAGCTGGAAGGTGATGGCCATGTTGTGTTCGTGTCGGTCACAAAATGCTCCTGCATTTAAATCCTGACTTGTCCAAGGACAGAGCTTAATGCAAGGGCTCTTCTAGTGTGCCTACACTACAGTTTAGAYGTGTTGTCATCTTTCTGGAGCAAAAAATGTGTTCACCAGTTTGCTGTCCTAGTTGTAAAGTAGTTGGAACTCATTTACCATTTTCCTTGAGGCAAACAGAGCCCTTGGTTTGTCCTGTGCTGTCACTAGCTATTTTTCATTTATAGTTTCTGTTCCAAAGAGATTTTTTTAATTTGCTTTTTTTCCTTGTYCTAGCTCATTCTTGCTGGAGCCCTTCGGATTGCTGACAAAGTGGAATCAGGGAAGACATCTGTGGTTGTACACTGCAGTGATGGCTGGGACCGGACAGCCCAGCTCACCTCTCTCTCCCTGCTCATGTTGGATGGTTACTACCGAACTATCAGAGGCTTTGAAGTGCTGGTGGAGAAGGAGTGGCTGAGCTTTGGCCACAGATTTCAGCTGGTGAGTAACTAGCCTGTGGAAGGCACTGAGCAGAAAGTTACTGTCTCTCTTGAAGGATTTCAAAGGAGTTTAGCCTTTCCCGGGAGAAGTTTCCTGCCTGAGCTTGCAGAAGAGAGGTGAATGCTGATACTATTGCTTTCTACCTATAATTCCATTCATCTCTTAAACTCCTTGGGATTATACTGGTATGATACAAGGCACAGGTGGTATTRAATCTCTCAGGTGTTTGACTGATAATATCATGGTCCCATGCTTAGGCTTAAACTAACAATGTGCTTTTGGTTCGATGCTGGCATTTCTGCTGGGAGTTGGCAGAAGCCACTGGGGTATTTTTTGTTTTTCTTTCTAATTCAGTCCATTTTCTGAGACTGCTTGGGCACAGTCATCTAAGAAATGCTTTGGTATTGAAGAGGTTGGGGARTTTGTTTATAGCCTTGACCTCACATTTTCTCAGGAACACTTTGTTTTTGGAGAGGCTTCTAATTATTTAGGTGAAAGAGCAGCACTTTGAGCCTGGACCACGAGCAGCTTGTGGTTGTGTTTTTGCAGTCAGCAGAGAGGCAGCTTTGTGGGGTTGTGACACAGCAATTTGTTASAGTTTTCCCTGGTGGGAGTTGAGAGAGCCTTTCAGTAGTGTCCTTTCAGTCTTTGTTCCTGTTTTTTGCCTGTAGCYGTTCTCTAGTGCTTCTTTAATTTTGCAAGGGCTAGAACAAGGTCTGTGTAGCACTGGCAGGGGTGGCTTGTAGTGAAGAAGGTGAGGAAACTGAGGCCCTAAAGCAACTGAGGTTCTGCTGCAGCAAAACTTGTTATCTGGTATTTGAACAATGAGTGTTCTAGCTTCTTCACTGTCTAGCCAAGGAAGATACTGATAGTGATTTCTTTGGTGAGGAGAGATCAGGGAATTCTGTTACTTACATGTCCTCGTGTCTTTGTACGGCGCTTGGGGCTCCTGGGAAATATATAACCATTAATGTGCTCTGCTAGTTCTGAGGAGTCGTGCCTCACATGTGTTGGCCACACAGCATGGTCAGGGTTGGAGGGCTGCTCCTGGGAACGCTGTCATTACTGCCTCTGYGGAGGTGGCAGGAGACAGGCTGGGCTGGTGTTTGTACAGCTCTTGGAAGCCGCGAGGTGTTGCGTGACGGTTATCGCCGCATGCCGTGCCTGTAGGTAGTGCTTGGATCGAGCACCCTCTACTACTGAAGTAGCCAGGACAACAGCTGCAACTGAAGCAAAAAGCATTCTCATTTTTTTTCCTTCTGAACTTTAGCTATTAACTGAAATCAGTGCCAGCATAGCATCTGGAGCCTCTGCTCAGGCAACTCTTGTTTTAACTTAGCATAAAAATATCCCYATAAAGAATTTTCACTTCAAAGACAAAGGGAGTAGCTGTCCTTTACTCCTTTAGCCACTGATATGGACAAAGCAGTATCAAGACTAATTTGAAGTTTTTTGAAGCWGTTGGTAAAGGTTTAGGTGGCTGARAGCAGACCCCAGCAGTTTCCCTGTGAAGCCCTGTGTGACTCRTGTTCTTTGTCCTGCTGTTTCAGAGAGTTGGCCACGGGGACAAGAATCATGCAGATGCAGATCGCTCTCCTGTCTTCCTGCAGTTCATCGACTGTGTGTGGCAAATGACAAGACAGGTAAACTGCTGGGTGGCACCCGTGTCCACAAAGCCAGTGTGCCAAGATGTGGCACAGTGTTTGGATACAGGAATGATTTCCAGGCTGACCTGTGCAAGCTCTCCTTCCTGGGCTTGTATTCTTACTTGGGTTCTGGCAGCAGGCTTTTTGGGAGTCTGTTTAGCAGRGAGCCTGAAGGCCCTTGCTAACAAYAGTCCCTAGCATGGTGGGTGCAGCAGATCTCTGTTGCCTCCGCTCGAGCTGATCCTGTAACCAAACCTGCAGCAAGACATGCTCTATTTTAACTTTTTCTGAAGGCASATGTACTGCTCCCAATTCGTAACGTGATGTACAGAGCCAAGTGCTTCACTTCGTACCACACACGGCAAAAGTACAGGCCAGGAGAGATCCCCTGTGTCTGGGAGGTTTTACCCCAAAGGATGTGGAAYGTGGAAGGTTTTTTGTGTCTTCTGTGATGCAAATGTCAGCTATGGTCAGGCAGTTCACTGAGAAAAAGTTTAGCTCATCATGGATTAAACCAGGAGAAATGGAAGGGAAGGATACCACTATATAGGAAACTGTGCCACATCCATGCAGAGAGAAGGGGAGGCTTTGCCTCCATCAAAAGTTCTCTCATTGTGGTCTTGGATGGCTTCTGCAGCTGGTGAGGTCAGGATATTGCAACTGGGGCAGCCTGGGTGGTTGTGAGGGAGGAAGGCCTCCTGCTCTTGTCTCCATCGCCCCAGCATGTCTTTGCAGTTTACTGTGTGTTGCCTTAAGGACCCTTTGTGAAGCTCCAGTTGTCCCTGTCTCAGATCAGATTGTTTTTGCACAGAACTCAGCAGCAGACAAGGCCTGTGCCMATACACCTTTTCCTTCTGCTGACCTCTGTTGCAAGGTGTCTCCCTGCTCTGGGAAGGGCTGTGTTAGGCACCCAGGTTATTTCCATTTGACCCTGGGAAATTTCCACTTTTGAAATGCGTTCATTTCACATGTGCCTTTTGTTCAAAGGCCGGCTGCATGGCTGTCATGGGGGCAGGCAGAGCAGAGCAAGCTTCAATYTGAAGCAGCACTGAGTGTATATATAAACACAGTGTTCTAACCCTTCAGACTTCTGGCTTTTGCTCGAAATTCCTCTCTGCACATGCAAAGCGGCTTTCCAAGAGGGAAGCTCTTGCTTCTGGAAGGAGCAAATATGACCCTGAATATCCAGCCAGGCAGGGAACAGGGACAGATCCTGTTGTAGAAATCAAGAGTCCAACCCTTTGTGAAGATCACAGTGTGAAAGTTTGTCTTCCTTTTTTAAAATTCCAGCCTAATTTTCTGTTTCTGCCTAAAGTTCCCTACAGCATTTGAGTTCAATGAGTACTTCTTGATCACCATCCTGGATCACCTGTACAGCTGTTTGTTTGGGACTTTCCTGTGCAGCAGTGAGCAGCAGAGAGTGAAGGAGGTAAGACGGATTCCCTCAAAGGGAAAAGCCTGTTCCTGATTGTTTTAGCTGGCCAGATACTGCTACAGAAACTGGTTCCTCATTCCAAGATAGTTGTAAATGTGGGACTGGGAAATGCCTCCTTCTTAACAGCTGGCAACTTGGGGTATTCTCCTCCTTGCACAAACTACTGTCTGTTGGAAATTTCGTGTTTCAGGGCAGCACCATCTCCCTTCTGGACACCCTGTCCACTTCCAGTTAGTCACTAGTGGTTCTATAGCTCCTGGTGTTTCTCAGGTAGTGGAAACAATTTTGCTTTGAACTTCAGTTTACTGTAACCTTCTCCGTGGGAACTGGTACTTTTTTGACGTCCCTTTTCTTTGAAGTGGTCCCTTTAGGGGACCAAGTGTGCASTGTCATTCTGCACACATGGGTTACAGCAAGTAACTGGTCTGTATGTGTGTTCTTGCTGTGCTTGCAACTTTYTGGGAGAGGACAACTCTCCTACTATTAGTAAGGACGTGCCTCTCTGTCCTGCCACAAGCCAGCTGTGCCCTGCAGTCTAGCCRAGGTTTGTTTGCCCAGGGAGGAGCATAGAGTTGTGTACATCCAGACCCAGTCTGGAATTAAAAGGAAACAGTGGCACTCATTGTTTCACCTGCCTGAAAATGAAGCATTCTGTCACCAAAGGCTGCAGCCTAATTTCACAGAGGTACACAAGGGCAGTGCTGTGTGGACCTGATAYGATTATATTTGGTAGAACATCTCTTAAAAATAATCATAAAAATGAACTGTAATGTAAAAGGGATAGCATTTGACTGTCATGAAATCAGTGTCCCTGTTTCTCTGGAGTCCACAATGATTGAATAATTTTCATTTCCAGAGAAGAGAATCTGCATGCTGTTTGCACGTGGGTTGTTTTTTTTTTTATTTAAAGCCATCAGCCTAGTGAAGTTCTTAATCTAGGAAGTACTTCAGTGTTTTCAGTGGGAGTATTCACAGGCCTAATTACTCCATTAGAGCAGGGCCTAAGTCTAATGTTTTCTTTTTTGCCTTTGCAATKAAATAGTCCAGCAAGTCCTTGAGAAGCACTTCAGAGAAGTGAAGTTTAACTAAAGAACTGAGAGTTCACATGCCAGGTCCCCTCACTGTACAAAGGGTGATTCCTGCTGTGTTGGCAGCTGGRTGGGTCAGAGGGGTTGTTCCGTGCCAGGGCATGTGTGCCTGCCTGCATCCATGTGCTTCGAGTACAATAACCACATCAAAAGAACAGTTTGGGGGGATTTTTAAGCTACAAAAAAGCAAYCAGCTCCATGTTAATGACAGGCATATGTCTGTGCTGCTATAGTTTGTAGATAGCTGGGATTCGTATGGCAAATAAAGCCTCCTCCACCCCCTTCCCTTGCAGAGCCTTCCAAAAAAGACTGTATCACTTTGGTCTTACATCAACAGCCAACTGGAAGACTTCACTAACCCGTTGTACGTGAGCTACTCCAACCACGTCCTGTATCCCGTGGCCAGCATGCGCCACCTCGAGCTCTGGGTCGGCTACTACATCCGCTGGAACCCCAGGATGAAGCCTCAGGTACGTCTCCTCCTMTTCTGCTTCCCTGTCTCCTGGTACCAGTACTGTTGTTTTGGACTTCGAGACTTTTAGGTAGAGTACAAACTGACGCTGCTGCTGCTTAAATCAGAATGCAAACACCTAAATTCCAATGCCAGCAAGAGCAAGCACCACCTAGAGCTGCTGGGTGCAGGTGCTCTGCTGGACATCACCACCTTGTGAAATCTGCAGCAGCTGAAGATTCTCAGCAATTTGGGAAATTTCTCACTTGGAATGTGGGAAAAATTATCTGAATTCTCTTTATAAAAGAGCTTAAACCCATAAGAACTTCTATAGATGTGGAACTCTAGATAGGAGTTTTGGGGCTGTATTTAAATTACTGGCGAGGGAACCTGCTGCTTGCTTTGGCTGCCTGAGGCACAAGGGTCTGACAGAGCCATCTYACACCCCTGACCCCAGCCAGCAGGGCTGCTGGCTTGCCCTGGGGCAGGACCTCAGACAGGCAGACTGAGCATGACCCTGAATGCTTTTAGTAGGACCAAAAGTGACCCATCACTTTTTAGTAGGAAGGGACAAAAATTCCCAGATTACTTCAGTGCCCATCTGCAGGYAACAGCTTTGCAAATCTGCAGCATTAGACAGGAACCCTGCAAACACTTTGTGGTACTGACGGTTTCAGAACTATCTGAAAATATTTAGAAGAATCTGGCTGGGTTTTTTCCCACAAGCCCCTGAAATTATGTCCAGGATGAGATGCCATGGCCAGTGTCTCCCAGAAAAGTCAGATTTGAGTTTGGCAGTTGTCATCTTTCAAAATACATAGACTGTTTTATTTAGCCCCCATTGCACTATGTGTGTTGGATCCAAGTGAGCATGCCAAAGCCAGAGCTAGCACTCAAGTACCTTGGGGCTGGAGACTGATGACACTCATGTACCTCCCCTCCTTCCCTGGTAGCTGTGTGTAAGGTCAGCAACAGTTTTGTGCTTCAGGCCCTAGCTGACTTCCATGCTGACCTCCCAGCACTCAGCTACACCTTTCCTTGCAGGAGCCTGTCCACAATCGCTACAAGGAGCTTCTGGCCAAGCGGGCCGAGCTGCAGAAGAAAGTGGAGGAACTGCAAAGAGAAATCACCAACCGTTCCACCTCATCCTCGGAGCGAGCCRGCTCTCCCGCACAGTGTGTCGCTCCCGTACAGACAGTTGTGTAACACTGACATTTATTTTTTGCTGAGTACCTTCCCAGGCCCATAGGGGGCAGCTTTTCTGAAACCCVTGGCTTTCCAGCATGGTGCCTGGGAGATGCCAACCTATTTATTTATTTCTCTCCAGGGTAATTTATTAGTACTGTAGCACTAGAGAAGGCTTAAAGCAAAAGCCGACACAGACAAGGCCCCCTATGCAATTAACATTCTCAGTGGCTAGCTCTTAATACAAGCCAATTGCACTTGCCACCTGTAAGAAGCCTGGAGCTCACTCTTTGTTCATCAGTGTGCTGGGAATCACTTGGTTTTAAAGAGACTGTGCATGAGAATGAAGTACTGTGGGGGAGAGATGTCTGCTCAGAAGTTTGGAAGGCCAAACCTGGCTTTGTATTGGAGCCTCAGATGCAGCTGTGTTGGACCAACCGTCAGCCGTTAATGTGCACAGCAGTGAATGAGAGTGCTTGCCAGCACACCTGGAAACGTGTCACTCCCTTCACCTCGGCCTACATCATAGGAAGCCATGTAAACGATGCCTTATTTAAAGGAAGGGCAGCTTCTCTCAATAAAACACAGCAGTAGAGGAGCAACATCCAGGACTTGATCTTGTAGGACAACGTTTACTTCCATCTCTGCCACTTTAGAATCTCGCTTACGGTTTACAGTGGGTGTGCCAGGATGCAACTTAAGCACCCTTATTTCTGAGTGGGGAGCAGAGCCTGGCTCCCCTGGGCTTTCCACAGCTCCTCTGGCTTCCAGTGCCTCACAGTCATCAGGGGAAATGTAGTGGAATACCAAGGGGCACGTGTGAACTGCTGGGATCAGCCATTACATTTTGCTTGGGTAAGCATAAATAGTGACTTTAATGTTTCTGTGCAGGGTTATAGTGGTGTACTTATGGTATTTCCGTTTTCTGTTCACTAATGGAAGCAACTGTGCATCAACCAAAGACGCCTTTCTGCCTGCATCGCAACTGCTGCTTAAGGTTTTTTCTGGCAGACTGAACAGCTTAGCCATTTTCTAATGCCTGCCTTTTCTCTCATAGTCTGCTTCAAGAACTGGTGTCACTCAACTAAACTCAAGTTGAAATTCAATTTTAATACAACAATGTACTGTAGGAGATAAAATAGACTTGTTGAAACCATGACTGCCCCYTTGCTCTTCACGTGAGCACAGGGTTGCAGAACACGGTGCTTACAGCAAAGGCATTAAATATGTGCAAGGTCTTCAGGCTGCTTCTCCACCTCTGTGCAGCAAGGTGCACTGTGTTGCTCTTTTATGGCAGGATCTCAGACTGCAGCCACCTGTTGAAAATACCTGTTAGCATGCTGCTTCATGCAGCTGTTCCACTAGAGAAGGATTTTTGGGGAGAGCCTGAGAGTAGACCTGTTTCCACCTAAGAAACTGCCTTTCAAAAGCCACATTCCTTCCAAGGCAGTTAACAGTACTTTCCTCCTGCAGTCTCCATTTCTGCCTGCTCTACTGCTGCAATCACCACACCGTGCTTACAGAGAAATCCACAGCCACCTTCCAACACCACGAGTAACAGGCTGCACAGCATCACCATGTTATAGGGTGGCCTGTGACATTATGGTTCAATTGTGCAAAGAATCCACACAAAATGCTTTCTAGGGACTTGGACTTGCTTTGAGGTTAAAGGGCAGGTCTGCTTTTATGTACAATCATTATTTAATGATGTTTAAAGCATTATTCTGTATTAGCGAATTGACTTTGTGTGTATATTTTGTTTCTTGATGAAGGCTGTTTGGTTTCCTTAACACTAATAAAAGCTGATAAATGGATAAAGTTCCTGTACTCCTATTTTCAACTCTGGTTTTCCAAAGGACTTGCAGGACATGCAAAATTAAATAAATAGCACTGCARGTTCAGTGTGTGAAATCCAAATCTCTCTCATTCTTCTGCAGAGGGTCTTGCAAGATGCTAATGTTGAAACTCTGAAGTTTAGAATGACAGAACACCAAGMTCCATCTCTGGACAAGTTTCTTTTATCCTGCACGGACCAGTGTTAATACAGATACAGTGCTTAGCTGTTCAGTATTATAAAAAAGACTCACAGAATGGTTKGAGTTGGAAGGGACCTTTAAAGATTGTCCACTTCAACCYTCCTGCTGGGCAGGGACACTATCTGCTAGACCAAATTGCTTAAAGCTCCATCCAACCTGGCCTTGAACACTTCCAGGGATGGATCTGCTTCTCTGGGCAACTTGTGCCAGTGCCTCACTGCCCTCACAGTAAAGAACTTCTGCCTGATGCCTAACCCTGCACTCWTTTCAGTTTAAAGCCATTCCTCCTTATCCTATCACTACATGCTCTCTCCAGCTCTCTTTTAATCTTTCCAGGTGTTAGGTCTCCCCAGAGCCTCCTCAGCTCCAGGTTAAACAACCCCAACTCTCACAGCAACTATTGTTCAATGCAGTGTGAAGTACCATTTTTTTTAATTGTGAAAGTGCTTCCATCAATGTATTCTGAAATACTCTCACAATTTAAAAAAAAAAACTCCACGATTTCTGCACCTTAGTWCATAAAAGGAAGATTCACATTTTTACATGTCACTTTGCAAAGCCTAAATTCAYTGGGGTGATTTGTAATCAACTCAGTAGATGCTGCTTGATGCTCTCACTTGCAGTGGGCTCAATTCTAAYTGGGGCACCTCGTTCACTGTAGGCAGCATGGATGAAACCTAAAATGCTCCTAAGCCCTACACCACTTAGAAGCTGCATGGGGACAGCCTGAGGTCATGCTGAAGTTAACCCATCTTTGAGCAAGCTGATCTCCAGAGGTTCTTCCCAAGCAAAACGACAGAGTGTAAGTTTCAGCTATGTATTTTTCAGGACCTTTGGTAAGAATTCTTTTAAGTGGCTACTCTCAGTTTACCTGGTTAGCAGCATTTGACTTCTTCCAGCATGGCTAACACCTTATGTGCCTTAGATGCAAGAAGACAAGTGGGGTGGATCACCTACAGGCAGGTGCAGGTACACTGGACCCCTTTCTTCCTGTGTCGACCCTGCAGAGCTTCCTCCCTGCTGAGCTACAGGCAAGGGTGGACTACTCTGGCTCTAACCTTACCTGCAGCTCTCATTCATCACCCTGACCAGGGATAAGTCACCTCGCCATGAAAAGCCCACTGGCTGTGGCACAGGGCTGCAGCAAACACACAGCTAATTTAGAGGAAGGGCAGCTTTCCCACAAKTCATTCAACAGGCAAGCTGGCTTTATTGTTTTTCAATTGTATATACAGGTAATCTGGGTCTTCCATACATTCCATTAATAGGAAATTCTTTAAATTATTAACATAATAAATAACATTTAATCAGCTGTGCAAGTCAGAGCACAAACTTAATTGCACTACTACCAAAGTAGATAGCTCATCAAAGCACACACTTCAAGTAAAAAGCAAGATGCCAGGACCAAATGGCATGATTGAGGCACTTGCAGTTTAAAACAYTTGTGATTTCTCACTCCTTTGCCACCCAAAGCTGTCAGCCAGAGAAGGGTATTACCCCCCTATCCTACAGCTTTTTCCTAAAGCAAGATTTCTGTAGAAAAATTTCACTTGGYCATTAAGCAACATAATTCATAAGTTATTTTGCTCCTCTTCTGAGTACTCAAACATCCACTGCCACTGATGCTAACTAATGCAACACAGCAGAACAAGAACTAGTGAAGAAGTGTTTCAAAGAGAGCTCCACAGAACACCTTTGAAGTGGTTTACCTGTTCTCCATTAGACAGTCCCAGAGATGGAGTCATTGCAGCTTCACACAGAACTGTCAAACGCCCTCTAAACTCGGGGCTGCAGCATTGTTCTCAGACAAGATGCATCCTGAGAAGCCTCCCAGATCTACAACAGCATGAAATGGCACTGGCACATCACACAAACACCAACCCACGTAAACGTGCAGTGCTCGGTGTGCTGGAACAACGCGGAGGGACTGCTGGAACCATAACMTAAGGGAAATGGAGGAGCCCTATTGTTACGATTCAGCAGCTATGTACCCTGAAAACGGAATGTGATTTAAGCTACAGCATAACATATACAATCAGAGGGATGGAGAACCAAGAGCCCATAAGCCTGTATTTCAAAAGTGTGCTTAGCATACAGTAGACTCTTCCACACAGCAAGAGAGGCAGCTGCTTTAGATCCAAAATGTGAGAAAGTTTGGCCAGGACAGTTCAAGAACATCTCCTGCAGAAGAGTCAGCAGTCCCAGCTGATATCATCTTTCTGTAGTGAAGTCTGTATGGTCTGCATGTCTCTCAGCAGCTGAAGATTTTTCCGACTCTTCTCTCCAGGCTTCACTTTGATGGGACCTGCATTCTTTCCTTTTGTGGCTACTGTAGTTGTTACTTTAACCTCACTGACAGGGAACCTGCTGTCTTTTACTTGTTTAGCAGAAGTCTTTCTGGACTTGCATTCTCTCTTAAGTCTCTCTAGCTGAAAGAGAAACCCCAAAAAAAWCATTAAGAAGTGATCTTGTTTCAGTTTTACATTCAGCAATTCTTCCAAACAGCTGAAATATCCCACCACTKATCTCACCCAGCTAAGCAAACAGTAGTTTCCAAGTCACACTGAACAATAARTATTTTATTTTCCTTACAAAGCATTGTTATATTTGGATCTTTAGAGCTGTGTTTAGCTTACAGTCTGACCTAGTATCTCTAAAAACWAGGAAGTTCATTATGAGAGAACATGGCCATTAGGAGTGTAACAGAAAAAGGTAGAGATGGAAAAGTTTATTTGTCACTGTTACCATCCAGTGATTAAAAAAAAGAAAACAAGGGTTTTTGACATACATCATTGCCAGAGATGCAGCTTTGAAAAKAATACCAGAACTCTGCTGGGGTGAAGAGGTGGTGTCCACACACAGCACTGGAAACCACAGTGTGTAAGACTCAGTGCTCCCCAGCAAAGACTGAATGGGGAACACATATTCATCTGCCCAAACCACAACATGGGTGGCTTCTGTAGGTCCCATCTCTTCAGGTAGAGGTGTTCCCTCCTCGGAGCTGACAGCATGCAGCAATTTTCCTAAACCCTAAAACATTTGCCAATAGCACATGCAGCATCATTACTGCCTGGAACTACAGCACATCTGCTTCTTTGCAGCAGTTCCTCTGAAAATCGTAAGATACCAAAAGTGAGTAACGCTTCTAAGTGGAAACATTTCACAGGTCCATTCTGGATGTCCACTCCCTGTGTGTTTTGTGTGTGAGTTACATCAGGTGAGAGCGAATCTCGTTTCATATAAACTGAACCAGATTAAACACATGGGGTTAAGCTCTGGAAAGAAATTCAMTAAAATTAACAAAGACAAAAGAAAACAAGGAATATGTTTTATGGCTTTGAATGAACAGTCTAAACTATCCAAAACATTTTGAAAGTTATAAGCAAAATGGACATTTGGGGTCTTATAAAATGCAAATTAAAACATAAATGGGTCATTTACTCCAAGTAAGAAAAAACTGAACAATATTCAAAGGACAAGAGGACTGTAAAATGCAATGTGAGAACAGATGTGAAAGCTCTGTCCAGGACAGGGTGAAAAGTAGGCACAAGGCTGACAGAAAAGGTATTTCTGCAAAGATAGTGGGACCGAAAAATGGAGGTACACGGATTACCTTGTGGACATTAAAGCTAGAACTAGGCAACACTACTCTAAAGTGGTTATTTCTGCTTTATGCAATTGCTGTCAGATTAGAACAACACATAAAACCCCCTGCTTCAGTCAGCAACTCTGTATGAACATGAGCACAAGCAAAAGAAACTCACCTGCAAACGATGCCTCCGAACTTTGCTGATTTGGTCTGCCTTTGCTTCCATCTTTCCCACGAGGGTCTCAAGCTCCCTCTCCAGATCTTCCCTCACTGCAACAGTTGGGGCTTCCTGGACGAGCTTTGACAGCTGCTGGTGATCACTAGCACACAATTCAGAGAGAACAAGGCTTACATCAAGCTCCCTTGGCTTCTACAGCTCATACCCCAATTCAGAAATAACACTTCTRGGAAACCATAGCAGCAGCAGCCAGACATATCCAACACACTGTAACAAACCAGTAACAAGTTTTGCTGGTTTGCAGCATTATTACAATAGTACATTCTGGTAGCAGGCTTCTGCAACATTAAGTGTCAATCTAAGTAGTTTCCAACTTCAAATTGCATATTCAAAATGACCAAATAAACCCCGAGAATCTGATCTTAGCACCCATTCAGTCAGTATTTTGTGTATTTGTACCTACTGTGGTTGTGCAGGCCAGTAACAATTCATGTTCTGTTAACCAGGACAAGCAAAACATCCAGCAAAGCTGTCCTTTAATGGACTATTTGTCCAGATCCTGCTTTTGGCTAGGCTAGAGTTTTCATTTTTAGTAGCTGTTACAGTGCTGTGTTTTGGATTTAGTACAAAAATAACATTGATAATACTGATGTTTTTGTTGTTGCTGWGCAGTGCTTACCCTAAGCCAAGGGCTTCTCAGTGTTTCCTATGTCAGTGAAGAGGGGCACAARAAGCTGGGGCAGGGAAATATCTGGGATAGCTGATGCAAACTGGCCAAAGGGATATTCCATACCACAGAACATCACGGCATGGGGGAGCTGGCCATGAGGGACAATTGCTGCTGGGAACCAGCATGGGTCAGCAGGTGGTGAACAACTCTACTGTGCATCACATTCTTTATTTACCTTGGATTTTACTCCTCTACCTTTTTCATTATACGATCATTACATTTTACTTTATTTCAGTTACTCGACTGTCCTTATTTCAGCCCATGGGTTTCACCTTTTCTGGATTTCCCTTCCCATCCCACCAAAGCAGAGGGGTGGGAAAGCAGCTGCATGGTGCTTAGCTGCTGGCTGGGGTTAAACCAAGACAGCACCTTTTGGCACCCAACATGGGCCATGAGGGGCTAGTGGCAGGTCTGACCAGGTTGTGTGAAGACAAATCTTTTCTAGGTATTGGTTTAATAGGGGCTGGTCACAGTGCTGGTTTATGGTAYCACAGAATGCCAGGCCATGAAAATTCCTGGGGGGAATCGGTGTCCTCAGCGCTCTGCGGCAGCCACCTGCTGGGGAATCCTGTAGTTACACCTTCTCCCTTTTCCTGCTCACAGAGGAGACATGGCCCTGCACCTTCCYCTTCTTCTCCAGGCTAATTACAGCAGCCTTTGAGAACGCTCAGTAACCCTAGGGTGTTAAAACCAGCGTGGTCCCAGTGCTAGGATCCAGCATGGTGCTGAATGGGGCTCAGATCAGGGGAGGATTTGTGTCTGAGGACAGTGAGCAAAATATGAAATATCTACATTCACAATTTGCAATGGAGAATATACCACACTCACAAACTCATCTGCCCAAATTCATCTTGTAAAGTCAGCAACACTTCTGAGAGCTCCTCCTGAGATGAGGACGAGTCCACTGGTGGGGATGGCCTTCTGCTTTTGCTGGCAGGATGAGCAGCACTGCTGGGTTTTGCTAGYGGGGTATCGTTTACCACACGCCTGTTACACAAAGTTTTTGAGTGTTGTTTCATCAGGTGTAGSACATGTTGCACGTTGGCAGCAACGGAATGACTGGGACTGGTAGACTGGAAGGAAAAATAAAAGACTTCTTTAATCAGCGCTATCAACAACCTGATAACAGTGGAGAACATTTAAAAAGGGACACTTTTGCTGACAAGAATGCAATTTTTGTTTGAATTAATATGCACTAACATTAACATCTTGTCAAGCAGCATAGTGCAGGCCCATTTTTGGAAATACCATCTCAGCAAGTTGTCAATATCCAACAAGTATTTTGAAGAAGGTAAGAAAGGTGTCAAAGACAATTAAATAATCTGACCACTGGGTGTCAGGGGCACACCAAACAAAAATCCCTTAAGGAACTGCAGTTCCGGAGCTCGAAGCTTTGGATTTCATCAGCTCACCTTCCCAGCCACAAAGGGAACATCACCCAGACACAGTCTGTAATGGGGCTGCACAGCATGATGGCTTCCACGAGAGCATTTCTGGAAAGAAAGAAGAGARAAGTATTTGGCAAAGATTATACTACAGCAAACCCACTTTCCCTGTATTTGTAGTAAAAGAGGCAACCCTGCTCGCTGATCACATGCACACAACCTTATTTAACCCCTCAGTAACTGACCTTCTCTTCCCCACATCTTACCTTCTCTGGCTGCTTAGCTTTTTTCCTGGGTTGTCTCACTTTTGGAGAAAGCAATGGTGATGCTGCTTGAATCAGTAGTCTGTTGGTTTCTAGGCCTGTCTGAAGCTATAATTGAGGGAATAAGGGCATTTACTGAAGTAATATTAAATAAATGATCAGAGACAGAGCAAGCAGAGAATTGCAAACCAATAATTTTTAAAACATAGGCTCTCTAAAAGCAAGGATATTCAGGATATCCTTGCAMATTTTTAGGATATTTTTGCAGTTCAAGGTCAACTTAAACATTAAATCTTTCCTCTGGTAGCACTACTCATCAGCAATCCTAATATGTCAGAGAATTAACCTTATTGCATTAGTTGCATGCAGGCAAGTGCCAAAACATCAGCCGTGCTTTACACTTGACAAGGTATTGGAAAATCAAGCCACCCAACCCTGCTCAATTGATCTCATGACATATAGTTAACAGGCAACTACTGCTTCTATTAAATTTGACAGCAAAAACACTCCAAACAAACAAACAAAACCACAATAAAAAAAACTAACCACCAAACCATCTATTGAAAGAGGTAAGGTTAGAACTTCCTGTTGACAGCAAGAACCTTAACACACTTTGCTGTCCCTTTCAAGAGGAAGATACAGCATGGCTCTACAAGTCATGTCCTGAAGAAGAATTAACAGCATAATCTTTCWCAATTAATTTGAGATACCCTTTCCCCATCCCACCTAACTCATGGGAAAGGTTTATGCTAGAGCTTAACACATTACCTCCATAATCCTTCAGCATACAATGAATGTTTAATGAACACCACCATTCAGGTCAGAAGACCAGTCAGTATCCTTAAAGGCTCAATCAAGAGTATGTTGTCTCTTTCTTGCCTCTTTGTACAGTATTYTAAATATAAGTATGAATAAGGGAGCCCATTTGTTGACCTTGATATATTTAGAGGTTCTCATGATACYCAATTATTAATCAGTCTGAATTTCTACACCTCTTTTCCAACTAACTTCTTTTAGTAAAGAAATCAATTCAGTGCACAGGTGTTGTTAGAAAAAKATTTCCAAAAAGCTCAGAGAACTTCAGAACATTTGGTACCAGAACATTTGGTACCCCAGGCAGGAGGAAGAACAAAAAAGAAGAAAAAAGAAGAAAAAAGACTAAAACCAGGATTTCATTATTTTGTAAGGCACATGGGAGGCACTTGCAGTAAGCTTAGCTGAAAATTCGATAAAAAGGAAGAGCTAATTACAGTGCATACCAGTACAAAAGAAATTTCCTGTTGGTTACCTCAGCTGCTTTTTCCTGAACAAGCTTCCTTGCGTGCTCTTCCTCCTGTAGCTTCTGTTCCAGGTCTTTCATTTTGATCTAGTCAAAGTTGAATAAAAATAATAGCATTACTAATGAAACATTTTTTTTCTTCCTGAAACCTACAATACTGAGAGCTTGAGCAAAACTATGAGTTCAACTTACAACTTAAAGATAAATGAAGACTTGAGCATTAGAATGAYTGCTGATGCTTTGCCTGCATAGGCATAAATTCAGCAGCCAGAAGCTTATGCTTAACATTTAAATTGATTTGTCTCTTCTTAAATTCAGATAGCAATTTTGAAAGTAAGTCAGAGCCAACACAAGACTCTTTCTCTTCAATTGTAAAATCACCCTAGACATTAGGCTGCTTTGTGTACATTATCCTCCAAGATTCCATACTTCAAAAGAGCAAACAAAGACATGTCATTATCAGGCAAGAGAGGACTTGCTTTATTTAGACCTCTAATGTTATTTTTGCTAACTTACATTCTCACAAGAAAAGAATTTTTGAACATATAGCAACCTTCCTAATAAAGGAGTTGTATGATACCTCTGAGATACCTCTAAACGGAAGTAATTTCATCTTTTTATGACAAAAGCATATAAGAACTCTTTTGAAAAACTCCTATGCAAAGGAAAAGGTTAAGGGGAAAAACACACATTTCTTTTTGTAAACCTCCAACAAGATGAAAACCTTGTTTAAACAGGATACACTGAAATTCCCAATGTGAAAGCTATCAAATAACTTTCTTGCTTTATAAAGCAGTGAGAAAACAATCCAGAGCTCCAGTACCCAAAACAATTTCCCTTYTCTTCCCCCAAAGACTGATAATTCACAGAGCCACTAATCAAACTTGAGGCAGAAAAGCATGAATACAGTGACAGCTGTATTTGTACACTGATTTGTTTATAAACCCACTACAATGAGGTAGTAAATATTTCAGTTCTGCTTTACGTAAGCACTAATTGCAAGAATAATGTAACAAGCTGTTACACAAGGGTGTTAAAAGGCAAAACACTGCGGATAAACATTGGAAAAACATTGAGAACAAAGGCATTGTATACAGGAACCAATCTTTTCTGTTGAATAAAAGAACCCTTCTGATGATWTTCTTTTCATTCAAAACAGAGTTAACTTAAAATCATCTTCTGCCCTCTACAATTATTGGCACAACACTTGATATCCATGTGGTCAGTCTCAAAAATCTTTTATTAACCTGTTTAACCTAACAGAATTTTTAGTATGAAAATATTAAAGAAAATATTCTGTTTCAACTGAAGATTGACATGAAGCTGGGCTAAGCTTTTATTCTGAAATTAATACGTATTTCCTCAGCTAGCTGTTCAGCTGCAGCATGCAGCTCAAACTGCACAGCAAGAATGTATCTTACTGTGTCATCTGTGATAGACCCTGTTAGAAATTATAYATCCAACTTAGATGGCTAAATAATTTGGTTTTCTTGTTTACAGAAGAAGGTATTATGCAGATTACTGGACTGTCATTAAGAGAGAGGCCACAGAGCCAAGCAAACAGACCCTGTCCAGCAGTGCTGCTCATCATGTAAGACAGCACTAAGCAGCAAGCAGCTTGTAGGTCAGCACTGGGCTGCCTGAGCATCCCACTCAATCACCAGGAGCCATTGCAAAAGACTTCAACTAAAAAATAGAAATAAAGTCTATTTTTGCCTGTTTTCTAACAGAAAAATAAATTTCATGCAATCATCTCACTCACACAACCCTAGAACTACAGGATGTTTTAGGCTGAAAGGGACTTTTAAAGGTCACCTAAGTCCAAGGCTCTGCCATGGGCAGGGACATTTTCCACTAGACCAGGCTGCTCAGAGYCTTGTCCAAGCTCATCTTGAATGTTTCCAGSAACAGGGYATCTACCAATCTGTYCCACTGTTCTGCCACCTTCATTGTAAAGAATGTCTCCCTTGTATTTARTCTATCCTCTTCTAGTTTAAAACCATTGCCCCTTGCCCTTTTTCACCASAGGCCCTGCTAGAACATCTGTCCCCATCTTCATTACTGGCCCCTTTTAAAAACTGCAAGGCCACAATAAGATCTCCCTGGAGCGTTCTCTTCTCCAGGCTGAACAACCCCAACTCTCTCAGTCTGTCTCCACAGGAAAGATGCTCCAACCTTCCAATGGTTTTTTGGGGCCTCCTCTGGACCTGCTCCAACAGTTCCTTGTCTTTCCTGTGCTGAGGATCTCCAGGGCTGGACACAGCACTCCAGGTGGGGTCTCASAAGGGCAGAGTGGAAGGGGAGAATTACCTCTCTTGAGGGGATTCTCTCTCCTCCCTCTGCTGGCCACTCTGCTTTTGATGCACCCAACCCACAAAATGGTGGGGTTTTTAGGTATCATTGTTAGCACTAAGATCCTTTACTTCAAACCATAGTTGTTCCAAAAACATCATTCACACATACACTTAAATTCTGGACATCTGGCTACACACAAGACCACAGCCCAAACTGCACTTTTAGGGAACAGCCCTGTTTTGTTACTCCATCTTCAGACACAGACATGTTCAGATCTTCTCARTCAGCTGTCYAGAGACTGCACTGCAGGACTACAGYTGCAATAAAGATGCTTCAAAAGCATTTCCAGGCTAAGTACTCCAATTACAAGCACTTCACATAAATAGGAATCTCAGCATTTCCTTTTCTCAGGCAATACTGACATTAGCAAATTACTTGAAAATAATACTTATAGAGCTGGGGAGATTCAATGCTCTCAATAARACCCCCACAGACCTGTACCTGTACCTGTGGCAGTGTCTGAACTCAGATGCAGACACATCACTGTCCACTCAGGAGCCATCACCTCACCACTCTCCACCCGTTTCAGCACATCATGTATGAAACAGTCTCTTATTTCTTGCTTCAAATTCAACTTGAAAATGTTCCTGGGATCTTGCCACAACTACAGCAGAGATCAAAGAGGGAACAGATGCAATGCTCTGAGTAGAGAGTGCAGTGACTCTTTGAAGATTATAAGGTAACACCTATCACATGGATGCTCACATAGGAACACAGCCTATAACCACAGAGGCAGGCAGACCTGTCATCCAGAAAGTGGCTCATGACAGCRTAACGATTACAAGGAAAATGACCTCTCATCACAGCTAAAACCAGATTTATTTCAGTTCCTAAAATTCACACARTTTTGAAGCAATTCAACACCCAGCTCCTCTAAAACGTATTTAATTGTGACAGCTACTAATTCCTAAAGAAAAAGGATCAAAGACCTTGGGTTTGATCCAGAAAAGAACAAAAAAAGAATCATAAGGCAGAAATTATTTTCACTAGCCAAGTACAAAAAAGGCAAACAGCCCAGTCTCACTAAACTTCAGCTATTACTAGTCAAAAACTTGGTAAAAGCCTTTCAGAGGGAATGCCAGTTGCTGAACTGGTTATTTCAACACTAACCCTGGAGGAAACTACTGCTGCTTTCAGAGCACAAGACCCAGGAGACATTTTTCTTTGCAAGTGTTTGGCCTAAGTAAACAATGCAAGCACTTGTAGTCCACAACTGCAGCTCACCACAATGGGGTGTCAAGATCTTAGGCAGCTTGTTGCAGCTGCCTTGGCTCAGGGGCTTCCAAGAATAGTTGTAATATGTAAATGTCCTGMAGCAAGCCAAGTAGCTAAAGATTTACTACCAAACATCCTATGTGCTTCTGGAGAAACACCATCTACACCTGGTAGAGGCTGGTGTGCAGGATGGCAAGCTGGTAATTTTGACAGAACCCAAAGCTGCCATCCTAAATACCACAATCTAACAATGTATTATCTGATCCTTTTGGGGGAGTAGGGAAGAAATCTGCAGAAGGAAGCATCTCCCTGGTTAAGCCCTCAGTAGCTTCCAGGCTTGAGAAACTTGTGGTCTCTCTTACAGCAGCAGAGACAGGTACATGGATGGGCCTCCAGAGGCCAACACCACAGATGGAACAGAGATATATGAGGTTTGTTTGGCAAGGCATTGGTGGCAATGGGGCTACAGGGCTGGCTTCAGTGAGGAGCTGCCAGAAACTTCCCCATGTCAACAGAGCCAATGCCAGCCCAAGATGGWCCACTGCTGGGCAAAGCTGAGCCCAACAGTGATGGCGGCATCACCTCTGGGATTACAGAGTTAAGGAGCTTTAAAAACCTGCTGGAGAAGGGCAGCCAGAAGGGAGGAGTGAGAATATTTGAAAGCAGCAGACTTGCAGACCCTAAACTCAACAAGGCAGGGGAGGAGGTACTCAAGGTGCCAGAGCAGAGATTCCCCTGCAGGCCATGGCAACATTTCATTTTATTTAGTTTTATTTCTGACCATAAAATTACAAAAATTGTAAAAATTCAAGGGTCAACCCCCCACAACAGAGTATGACCAAACACAGTCATGTTGAGTTTCATGTAAAAGCTACTGATTTGAATAGAGTCTTGAAAAGACACACTGACTCAAACTCACTGAGAGTTACCCAGTGCTAGAGTCCTTGCAATGCCAGGCTCCAGAAGTCCACAAGCACACAAAATAACTAGTAATAACTGTTTCTTGATAAGGAGGGCTAAAAGAAAAAAAAAAAAAAAAAAAAACAAACCAACAACTCCAACATCAAATTCATACAAGTCAAGATAAATCTGGATAACAGAAAATAACTGCTAGCATTCAGTAGCATACAAAGCAAGTCAAGATCTTAGGAATGCCTGCWATCTTGCAATGGCTAAGCACCAAATAAGCACAAAAGAGGAACACCAACAAACTTTTAAGGATTAATAAAACTCCAACTCTTGCAATGTACAGTGACCTAAAGCCTACCCAGACATGCAGATTTCCACCAGTAAGTTTTTACACCACCTCAGTTTTAAAATGAAGTTTAGTTGCTGTCTTACTCCAAAGTACAAGGCTTTGCTCAGCTCTGCTACTGACATATAGCTATAAGCACAGGTTACAATAAATAAGATAAATTTGATATTGTATCCAACACAAATGACAGACCTCTGCTATGGACTGCATCGTAGTAAGTCTGCTATACTCTTTTTCCAGCATATCGAGCTTTTCCAATTTAGACTGAACATGCGATTGGTCTAGAAGCCGATCTCTCTCCAAGGAACCCTTGAGGGGAGAARCGAAAAGGAAAACAATTATAAACTCAAGAAAACAAGATCATCTATAGTAAGCCTTGCATCTGGAGCACAGAGGCCCATAAAGAGTCCAAAGGAACTCCTACTTCCTCCSTGCAATTTTAGCTGGTGCCACAATCAGGGAACAAACTGCACCAGCACGATCAGGGAACAAACTCCCCCAGCACTGGGGAGCCACACACTTAACCACATCTGATGGGAGAGGATTCTGCATGCTCCCTTCTTCCTGACCCAAYACAATTAAAAAGAAAATCATCATGCAGCTATCAGAAATAGTTTCCTTGATTTTTTTCTTCAGTTAATATTTAACAGAGTGAAATAGAATAGCCACAGAGAGCTCTAGGTGACCCATATGCCTATAAAACAAAATTCMAATTCATTTTAGATATAGGCCAGATCCCAATCACTGATGCTGGGAAATAGAAATTTTACTGCTATTTCTATAGAATCAGTATTTCAGCCTGAATTTAGCAAGAATAGCACTAGTAAAGAAAATCCCCAAAGATCGGAAGAGTGTAAACACAAAAGGAAGTTTTTCCCAGTTCCACGCAGGTGTAACACTGGAGAATAAGGATGAGCTACTACAGTAAGCCAATCATGCAGAAGCAAACAATTCATATTAATACCAGAGCCTGCTATTGCCTTGGAAATGGGTGCACAAAGAAAACACCAGGGYTGTGACAAGAGTGGAAAATTTAAGTAGGAAAGCTATCTATACCTAAGTATATGAAGGCCAGTTGAAATAGACATCCACACTTAAAGGCATTAAAACTACAGTAAGTATGAAAAATCATGACATAATGATTTTAATGGCTTAACCCTAAGGTAGTCTTGGGAACACACCTGTTTCTCCAAGAGATGTGACTTCTCATTTTCTGCATGCTGGATCATTTTCCTCATGTAGTCCAGCTGTTTCTCTAAAAGGCTGCACCGAGACTCAGCAGCTGCCAGCTGAGAAGCCAGTTCTGAAGATAACAGAAGGCAGAAAATGGAAACCATGCATTGCTTGTTCATGGGATTTTTTTGTTGTTGTTTTCAGGACAGTTTCAAAACAAACAAGGAAAGAACCATCTAAGAAACTCACATATTAYGCCTAATGAAGTTCAGTATGCATAAAAATCACTAAAACAAACAATGCTTTTAAATTGCTTCTTCATAACTCCATGCATCATTGCAAATTAGAAGATGCTGAACAAAGCAAACTAAAATTGGTTTATGTATTGATAGAAATGRAATTTCATCCACTTTAATGTTCTATAGTATCTATATAAAGTTTGCAAACAACCTTGATTTTTCCTTGACACTTCAGTCTTGTCATGTTCTTTGTGTTGCATTTGTTCACTCAGTACTTTTTTATAGTCTGCTGTTTCCCTGCTGAGGTGTTTTACATTCTCCTCTGCCTGAAACCGTTCCAGCTCCAGTCGATGAATTTTTTCCTGAAGATTCTTCAGAGCAGAAAATATTGCTGCAATTGAACAAGWACCTTTTGTTAGATACTATTAAATCATCACTTCAAGACAATACTGAACACTGAAACATTATTATGAAAGYATGTTATGTAAGAAGGTCAGAGTGTTCCTCACTAGCATCCAAGATTCCTTCCAGGAATTAAGACCTGTTTCCCCTTAAACCATAACTGATTCTAAAACTATTCTCAAACAAATAGATGCCCTTAGTGCACACCCRGCACCTGATACATTTGGGAAAGATRTAACTACTTCCCAGAACAAGGCATATAAATATTGTGTTGATTAAGAACAAACAGTGCATCCTCTGACCCTTTTATCAAAAGGAAATGAAAAGTCACRACTAGATAGCTAAAACAGTGGCTATTCTCTATATTATTATTATTCTTCCTACTACAACAAATACACAAACACAATGTTCCTATGAATGGCCRCACAGCATAATAAAGGTAAACTATGAGAAGGGCTGCAAAAGTGCTTATTTATAAGTGGACTTCTTTTTTAATTCTTCTGGCTTTGAACTTGTATGTTTTTAGATGGAGGAGTGGAGCACATCTCCTTTGTGCTGAACCATTTTCCCTTTCTGCTGCATTCTCAGCTTCAGCAGTTACTAAACAGAACCTTTACATATTCTTCACCACAGAAAGAAAAGCAGTAGTAATAGAACTCACATCACCTTGCAATTAGACCATCTGCTGGTAATCTGATATATTTACACCTCTTAGCTGTGTTGTTTAATTCTGTAAAGGATTCCATAACCATAAGCCCTTTCCCCTACACACTGCTGCTAAAGTAAAACACAAGAACATCTGTACACACAGCTCATATAGCWGACTAATCTGCAAACTCACATTAGCCCAATTCTTTGTGCTTAAATCCACACCAGAGAAAGAATACACCTTTAAAACAGAATGCTTGAGCTCTAAAAGAGTYGGGACTGCATATTGGTTTGAGCGYCAGATTACCAAAAATGAAAAGAGRAAAATAGAGGGAAAATAATTACAAGAATGAAGATTCCAAAGTAAAAAGTAATCAAATCTTGAAATGCATAATAGCACATGAGAGTATCACATCAATGAAAACCACCTGCTTTAGGGGTACCTGATAAGTACATAAGAAGTAGCAACAGCAGTCACAGTTATGGGGAAGTTATTGATAATTTGGCCCTATTTGCAATGTAAGAGTCACCAACTGCACCCTCTTCTCTATTTATATTTCTGTTCTGGATTCAGTTGAAACGGGCATAGCTGAAACAATAAACAGATTTGTTACYATTATTCTTAAAAGCTACATTGAAATCTCTGTATATTCACAACAATGACTAAAAAAATACAGCAATGAAGCAACTCAAGCGATGGATAGATAAAGGTAAAACCCTACAGGATGCCAAGAATCATTCAGTYATTCCTGTCAGAATGCATGCTCAGACACATGTGTACAACACAAAGAAATTAAAATGACAATAAATGTACTGTACTCAATTTTAGGATTTTTCAATAAGATTACTTTTTATATGAGGAATGGCAGGAGCAATATGGACCCTCAGGAACAATCAAATCAATTTTGCCATCTGAAATTAATTCTCACGTCCTTAAACCTACTAAAATATACACTCCAGAACATWTCTGCATTTCTAAAAGCTATGCAAAAAGAGAAACATACTGGGTCATCCCAGTGTTGGATTCAATTTTCAGTACAGCTTCACGCTTACTTGCTMTTTATCTAAACATATTTTGAAAATAAAAGCATTTGCTAATTTTTAAAAAGGGATACAATTTATCTGATTGTCTTCTACCACCCAGATTCCCTGACAGAAAAAAAAAACTGCCTAGTGAAAACTTGGAAGTCAAAACTTTATTGCTAATGCRACATGCAGCACACTCTACAAAAATACACCTGCATCAGTAATTCATAAGGAAGCTCTTTCCTGCGCATCCAATTTGCATCTGTAAAGATTGTTTTAGTTTTGTCAACAGCACTCTCAAAACAGATGGCCTTGAGAGGATATACTGCATTTTAAATAGCACTGCASGAACTGAGATTTCATCTTCGAGTTCATTAACATAGAAGGCCCTAGTAACTCTAACATGAATTGTGTTATTAGAACAGGGACTTGAGGCTATCATCCTGATTTTTTACTTAGTTTGGGCAATATTAGGAATCATCCTAAATATTTCTGACTTTTCTCCAAACAAGGAAAAAATACCAAGTAATTCATACCCTTAAGCCTCCATGCTACTCCAGYCTTCAAGGGAGCATTTTTACAATGACCCTGAGCCAAACAGATCACCAAAGGATTGCTCCTGCTCTAGTCTCCCAACTCCTCATGATGCATCCTGTACATACCCCAAGGCAACTCTGGAATAAGTCTCACTACATGACAAGCTAATTCACTGAAACAACAGAAAACTAACAAAGACTAGGTTTTTTTGTTCGTGTGCAGTCAGGCAAGWCAAATCGGTTTATGTGGAGATGAATGTCAGGACCAGAGTGGGAAAGGAGGGAGAAGGAATAGCCTAGAAACAAGAATAAATGGGAGTAAAACTGCCTCYCTTTTTGGTATTGTGAGCTCTCAGTCTAGCATTATGCTGAACCCTTCTCTGTATCRTTCAAGTCTTCACTGATATGAAAAATATTCCAAACATATCCTTTGTCCATAACAAGCCTTTCAATTTTAACAGGACCAAACCTCTTCCTTTGCTCCAAACCATTATGGGGACTAAATTCTCCTTATTTCTAACTCAGCTATGAACTGAGGAGAGGAAAGGTTGAAGGGGAAGAAGACTGAAGAAGGTACAAAGGAAACATGTCAGTAYAATTTTACACAATTTTACAATTCTCTGCCACTGAAGAGGGGCATCTTTCTCCATCTGTAARATAAATCTTTTTCGTCAGGTGTTCTTCAGAAAGAGAAGTGCAAAAGACTTACAAAACAGGTGACCTGGACATCACTGGGAAGTGATAAAAAGTTATCTGCAACCTTCATACAGGTGGAAGACATACATTATTTTACCACAAGATTTGGAAACAGGTAAGAAACCAACTTTACTGGACTATTACCTCTGCTGTTGCTTTCAGGATATGGAATTACTGGTTTCCACGGGGAGCACTGCAAATCCGAATTAATAAATGGCTTGTGCTTTGGATATTCTATAAATGAAGTTGAAGAAAGTCCATCAGTGGCTGATGTAGAGTTAGGAGCTTTGTGCAGATCATCCTGAAAACAAAACAAAGCGTTATTCAGCACATTTGTTTCTTTGTAACAACAAAAATAAAGAAAMGTAGGATCTATCAGATGYTGTGYAGAAGTACTGCTACAGGAGACTCATACCTCAAAAGGTGAGTCAACTTTAGGATGTGGCATTTTTACATCCAACTCCCCCTCCACTAAAARCAGTATCAAAAAGAAAAATGTCTTTCCCATACTAGTATCTGATTTACATTTTTGTTTTCCATTTACTTATACTGCCTCCTGCTTACTGGAAGAAGGCAGTACACAATCAGTTGGAAAACAACCACCTTCTTWATTACTTTTACTGCATGTGAGATAGTGCACTAAGGTGGCCAAACCTGATAAAGCACACCCAGGACCATGGGTTGACATCCCCTCATCTTACACAAATGCTCACTGACTGCAGGTGGGGCACAGGACACCCTCTGCAGCTGGGAAGGTGAGGTGAGTCCCAATCCCTCTCCTCCAGTTGCTTCACTTCATCTTCCCTATCTTTCCATTAGTTGATGGCACTTTATAAGACACATCCAGATGACCTCATGCTACACCTGATTAGTGGTATCAGCATGGAAAACCAGCAGACCTGCCTACAAGCAGGATTGCACTCTTAGATCAGCTTCAGACTGTTCTGAAAAACATGTCCATCAGGACCATGTACTTCCGACCAGTCTGCACCAACTGTGCAAACATCTGCTACGCTTTGGATATGACCTGAAGGGACCAACCAGCTGTGAAGATGCTCTTCTAAATAGAGGAGACATGGCAGAATACAGTGTTTATGGTTTTGACTCAAACTGTCTATCTGGCCTACGCTTTACAAATTAAATTAAATGCTTATTTTTAATTTCTCTCAACTGCACCCATCACTAAACATTTCAGTGACAGAAACTAAAAGTGACCTAAGAGAGGTGGGCTGCAGGCAGATGCAAAGCTCCTACAGCTTTTCCTCTTCACCAATAAGTCAAATGAGCAATTGCTAATCTTGGCAGGGTGTTTTTGAGCTTTTGCAAATACCAATCATTGGGACCATATCATGACCTAAATTAAATAAGCAATCAAGTATCAAGTACCTCCCAGCAAATTATACAACAACCCAAAATGCATTATGAAGAGCCAAATATGGGGGAAAAATTAAGAAAATTTGTAAGTTATTTAAAGCCCATACACAGCAAATTTCCTTTAATAAACAAAGTAACTACTCCAAGTCTATCAATTGGTGTTTCTAAGCACAGTACTACGACTGCTTTGCTATACAAGATRTCTTTTCTTGAAATAACTGCTTTTGCACACACATTTGCTATCAGAAAGTGAATTAAAATGGCAATCCCTAACTAAAAATTATTTAATAAAACTCTTTTGAGCAGGTGTTTTATGCATATATTCRCTGTTAAGCCTCCATAGTCTCAAACGTGTGACCAGAACAGATTAATCAATCTGATCGAAAGCCTGTTAGGTGCTAACACCAAAAATGCCATCAGCATTACAGGATATGGTACTCATGAGCATGGAGTACTAAGACCAAACAATGGAGTAAAAATGAACCAAGCAAAACACAGCACTTTGGCAGCAGGCAACACAGGAAYAGCATAAGCCTCAATACATAAGCCTCAGCAACTCAACTATCAATTAAAATATCAATATCCTGCCCAGCCTGCTATTGATTCAAATCAAAGGTATCCCATGCAACAGTCAAAAGAAAAAGGGAATCAGTTTGAAACCAAAGTAGGGCTGACAGCAGCACAATCCTTCTAGATGTCACTATCATCTTTTACGTCTTTACGGGTAAAGTGTTGTCTGAGAATTAAATTTAACTACACAAAGACACCACAGTAAAGGAGTTCTTTTATTTGTTTTTACTGACAGAAGTAACATTTTTCTCGCCAACAGCAGACTAAGCCAAAGAAAAAGTTGGTGTACYCAAAACCCTGGAGCACCAAAGCACACAAAGCAAAGCAAACTGAAGTTTCTAAATTCCACCTGGATGCAGGGAACAAGCACTAATTTGAATAGTGTTATAATCAGTACAGAGATCTGCTTCAAATAGCTACTGAAAACAATTGAGCTGGAATATCACATATTATATAGGCAATCATTCCTTGTTTCAGYCTAAGGAATGATTTGCTACCAAGTATATTTTTCTTGCATATTTTTAAGCAAAAGACGGGCTTATATTCTGTTTCACAAACAGTGACTTGAAATAATTAGACCGAATACTTTGGGAAAGTTTATGAAACAGCATCAAGGAATTTCCCATCACAAAACTCAAGCATCACAGCAATTCTCTGCCCTTCTCCTCTGTATCTCTCAAGTCATTAAAAATCATTTAAGTTTGTTCCTGCTCTTGGAAAGTCTCACAGGGAGTATCATGCTCCAATGATCAGGAAAATTGTGAAAAACAGAAAAATTCAGGGAACTCTATATATTTGTGCTGAATMTCAGCTAGGCCACTACATCTCCTCTCTTTCAGGGTACTTCCTACAGTCTTTCTTTCCTTCCTTAGGTCACACTAAAACCTCTGAGTAGTAAATGAAGAAGCTTAACAGTCCCACAAGGAGCCAAGTGCACCCTATTACGTAATAGTAGTGACCTGAGCACGTTTTATCACCGCAGGTCTGAGAACACTGCCTTCCAAATTTCACTGCTTCCACCACAACTGCCTACTCAAGCAGGCAGGAGAGAATATTAAAAACACAGACCAGAGATAGCTTAACAYATCACCAACACACAGGCACCTCCCAAAGCTCTCAAAGGCTAAACAYATAAACTCATCTGGAAAATTTTCCACTAAGAATCGTCAGCGTGGGTCTGAGGGACACTTTTCAAACCAACTTGTGTAGATGTTAAAAATGACCCACCATAATGTTGTTACCGCCCTGACACAGTAAAGAGATGCAGCACACCAGGAAAAACTATTCAGACGGCTTTTAATCTCAGTCGTGTACCAGTCATTTCAGTAAGGAAAAGAAAAAACAAACCRTTTTTCTTGTTATCTTACACAATTYTATAGCAWCCATGTACAGTAAAAATAACAAAGATTTATAAACTGTAGCACTAAAGTGATGGCAGGACACAATATCTTTCAGGCAGTAACTGCATGAAAAAAGCGCGAAAGCACAAAGTCAGCACCTTTGGTACTTGAACTCTGGCACTGGAAAAAGGGACTAAATTAGAATGGGTGCTATTGCAAGTTTTCTTGTGGGTGCTCACAACCAAAAATAAAAAAACAAGAGGAAAAAAGATTGAAGCTTGGTAACGCCTGAAGTAACACACAGTAGTCCTCACGCTTGGTTTAAAAAAAACCAAAAACAAAATACAGAAAAATATGTAGGGAATGAGAAAAAGAACAAAATAATGAGTTTCTGAATTTACTGGTTATAAAACATCAAAGCACCCAGKTATTCAAACTTTCATAGTCACTTTGGAGGGACAATCTCAACTAGCAGCCTGCCCTCCCTCACTACTGCAGTATTAGGGAAGTGGGGAAGGAAGAACAGCCCCTATCACCCACAGGCCAACTTAAGTGCTGGCTGTGCCTCCCTGATACAGAGTCAGGAGCMCTTTACATTTCATTAACACMTCTAGTTAAAAGCAGACATAAAAAYAGACACCTTGGTTAAGCAATTAYAACAARTGGGGAGGAAAAAWWTTTGGGACAATACAGTAATTTTTGTCAACTTTTTGCTGCAGAGTGACAGATGTATTAAAAGCAACTATTTTCAAAGTTCACAAAAATGTAAAGGTTGGTTTTGTTTCTTTTTTCGAACACATACAAACGTCTACAGTGGGCAACTTCTTTCCCAAAAGGTTTTATTTTGCTAACTAAATTAATTAAACAGCTACATTTACCGACTGAACCCTAAAACTACTCTTCTGACATCCTTTTCTAGGCATGATATCAACAATTCCAGTCAGGAAGGAGACAGGAATCCTCAAATCCCTCTTTCTGGTACAGGTATAAGCATGAGTACACAGTGCAGGGCAGGAGACACGCAACAGAGACACCCCAGGATGGGTGCTCACCACACAGCCAGTGAGACCCCAAAATATGAATCCCATAGGAGTGATTTCACTCACACACCATCATGCTGCACCCTTTTCCCCATCTGTGCKCCTCCAGAGCACATGTAAGGCACWGCTTCTCACAAGGRAAAAMMAAAACCAAAACAAAACAGGGAAAAGCAACTTCAGAAAGCTACAAACATCATGCCAAAACTTCAAACAAAAACCTCAACRGGGAACCTGTTTGAGGTGACAACTGGTTGTGTCCACAGAGCTCAGCACAGGCCGCTTCCTCGTGTCACCTGTCACCAGCCAAGCCACCCGTCCCGCTGCTCCTCTCCTCTCAGCGGACACAGAAATTCTGGTCCCGTGTGGGTGTTACCTGTCCCAATCCGCCAGGTGCTCCCACACACGGATGTGCCTAAGGACACGGGTATCTACTAAAGCTAAACCTCAGCTTACGGCAACATTTTCATCTTACAAAGACRAACAACCGGACGCACAATCCACCACCTGCTCTGCACTGGGAACTSTGGCCTCACCCGACTGACCCAGCACCGCTTAAAGAGGCTTTGGGCTGACCCCGCCGGCCCTTGGAACACCTGCCCRGTGTTTGCAAAGCCACTGCTGAGAACAAACCAAATTACACATTTTATTCACTTACAAACAGGACCTCCAAACACTGGTATGGGGACAGCAAGAGGGGTGGCTTCAACAGAAAGTATCTCTTTTTCTGTTGCTTTACAAAACATATGTGCATGCATCGTAATTTTATACATATATATACATACATGTACACACATACATATATACATATACGCACGCATGCACACACATTCACGTATGCATACACACGAATATATACATATATATATATACTCATGCACGTATATACCCAAGCACGAATATATACTCATGCACGAATACACACACATATGCATATATGCATCATTTAACAGACAAGCCAGCTTCCAGAGCCTCTACGGCTCCCGGCACGCTGGAAGCAGCCAAGCCGCCAGCCCCGCACGGCCCGGCCTCTGTCCCCGGAGATCACAAGCCCCCCGCCCGTTCTGCCCGTCACCGCCGGGCCGCATTCCGAGCCTCACCGCGTGCTGATGACCAGCCGCCGCCGCCGCCGCCGCCATGTCGGCCGCACAGGAGCCCGCGCTAGCCCATGTCACTTTAAGGCACRGCACCCGCGCGGCGGCTCGCTTGACTGACATCCCAGCCTGCCAATGAAAAGGGAGGATCASGGGATAAGCCCCGCCTCATCCTCCACTCGAGATTGAGTGACATGAGAGATGCCCAATAAAAAAAGAGCGAGGGCACAATTCAACCAATCGAGAGGGACAGCCCGCGGGCGGYGGGCGGGCGGTACGTGGGCACGCGCGGAGGGACGAAGGCGGAAGAGGCCGGCCTTTGTCAAAGGGAGCCCCCGCGCCTCGGCCAATCGCAGAGCGGCAGCGTCGTCGCCGCCCGGCGCAGGGCAGGGCGCCCGCGGCGGGATTGGCGGCGGCGGGGCCGGCGGGGGCGGCGATTGGGCGGCGGCGTTCGAAGGCAGGTTTGGCGCGGGGCGGCGATTGGCTGCGCGGGCGCAGCGCGAGCCCGGGCCCGGGGCGGAGGGAGGGAGGGAAGGGCGGGGGGCGCGCGCGGGGTGACGCCGCCGCCGCCGACACAAGGGGGACGCGGGCGGGCGGCGCGCGGGGCCCAGGGCGGCACCGGAGGGAGCGGGACCGGGAGCGGGGCGGCGGCGTCGGCGGCTCCTCCTCGGCGGCCCCGGCGGCTGCTCCGTCCCTCGCCCCGGCGGCACCTCCCCATTCCCCTCCCTCGGCCCGCCCGTGTCCGCCCCGCCGGATGGCGGCGGCGGGCGCGGCGGCCGCCCCGGCGCTTTATGCCTGCACCAAGTGCAACCAGCGGTACCCGTTCGAGGAGCTCTCGCAGGGCCAGCAGCTGTGCAAGGTGCGGCGGCGGCGGGGCGGCCCGGCCGGGGCTGTTGGCGGGGCGGCGGGCGGGGGCGGAGCGCGGGCCGGGGCTCGGCCGGGCACTAACGCGGCGCTTCTCCCGCAGGAGTGCCGCATCGCCCACCCCATCGTGAAGTGCACCTACTGCCGCTCCGAGTTCCAGCAGGAGAGGTACGGCTGCTCGGGGAGAGTGCGTTTGCGGGAGCTGGGCCTGCTGGTCCGGAGAAGAGCTAAGAGGGGATCTCATCAGTGCATATAAATATCTCCGAGGCGGGTGCCAAGAGGATGGTGCCGGGCTGTCTTCGGTGGTGGCCAGCGACAGGACGAAGAGCAATGGCCATAAACCATAGCACAAGAAGTTTCAGCTCCTCAAAAGGAAAAACTTTGCGCTGAGGGTGGCAGAGCACTGGCACAGGCTGCCCAGGGAGGGGGTGCGGTCTCCCTCTCCAGAGACATTCAGAACCCACCTGGACATGTTCCTGTGTCACCTGTTCTAGGTGACTCTGCCTTGGCAGGGTGGTTGGACTGGCGGATCTCCAGAGGTCCCTTCCAACCCTAACTCTTTGTTTCTGTTTGCCAGTAATTGCATGGGGAAGAWTGTCAAAGTGTGTGTTTGTCAGCTAATTCAATGTTGTACCATTTTATCTCCTTAGTAAAACCAACACAATATGCAAAAAATGTGCCCAAAACGTGAAGCAGTTTGGAACGGTGAGTAATCACTTGGTTGTTAATGCTGAAATTGAGCTCATTCATGCTTTATACTGAAAACAAATTCTCTTGCAACTAATCTTCTTTTTTTTTTTTTTTTTGTGAAAAAAAAGCAAAAACAAACCCACACTAGAGATTGCCATCCAGAAAGGGGATGGGAAAGACTGTTATTTCTTGATTTCCTCTGTGGGTTACCATTTCTTTTCCCAAATTGAAATCCATTTGAGTTGTATGTAGCTTAACAGTTAAGAATAATTTTATTTCACATCACACACGTTATTCCTTGCATATTCTCATAAGCACACACTTGATGACAGGAAGACCATTAGCCCTTGCTGTTCTTAACAAGTGGTAAATGTGAAAATCTAGTAATACCACATACTTTATATTATGTAAGTCTTAAAAAAATGCATGTTAATCGTGTTAAGCTAATAAGTATAAAAGATTTTGAGTATTATCTGCATTCATATTACCTTGCATTTTCTCATACTGAATTTCAGCTTCAGTTCTGTTGGAAAAATTAATTCTTCTGTTATGTGAATGCACACATTGTATYTGAGCCGCCCAGCAGATACCAGTTATTAGGAGGTATCAAGATAGTCTTGTGAAACAAAAAGGCATAGCTTCCCTMTACTTGACATAAACCATCTTAGTTGAAATTCAACTTATTTCAGAAATGTAATAGCTGTTGGTATGCAGTCAGGCACTTTGTCAATGTATACGTAAACTGAGCAAATAAATGCTTTTAAAAGCTTTGAATGCAGCAAAATGAATTGCATGAGAGATTCAGCAACAATTTTATCAATAGTTCGTCAAAAAAGAGAACTGCACTGAAAATAATCAGCTACTTCTAACCTATGAAAACTGACAGCAATTTTGTTTTTCAGCACTTTATTAGTTTACTTGAGTGTATGATAGAACAGTTCATAACCTCGCCTGGTGTATTTGAAGTTGGTTTTTGTTTGGTGATGGGTTTTTTTTTATTTTGTTTTTTAAGTGTTGTGTAGAATTGCAGGGATCAGGATACTAATCTTGGAACTGTAGGGTTATTGAATCCCTGAGCCATGCAAGGGAGGGTGAGGCCTTCAGAAACTTCCAGCCTAAAAAAATTACTTAATTACTCTTCTTTTAAAATTCTGTAAGTAATTTCTTTGGTAATGTAATAAAACTGAGAGAAAATGTCATCATATTTAAAAAAATTGAAAGCAGCAGGTGTAGAGGTAAGTAACCAGATAGTTGTGTGTGTTTCTTTTATTATGTATGGGTTTTCATGTAAGTCCAGGCTGGTTTTCACAATTGAAGGAGCATCATTTTAGAAGAAAAGCTTAGTACTGAAGATAGAAATGGCAGGAAAGAGGTTTTTTAATGTAGATTATGTGAAGCTGTAGTAGTTTTGAAACAATATTGTGTGAGTTGAAATACTTGTGTTCGTTCCAGAAAATGCAAATACACTAACATCAGTTCGACTTGGTTTTTTTTTCAGCCCAAGCCTTGTCAGTATTGTAACATTATYGCAGCATTTATTGGTACAAAATGCCAGCGTTGCACCAACTCAGAGAAGAAGTAYGGCCCACCTCAGACCTGTGAGCAGTGCAAACAACAGTGTGCTTTTGATCGAAAAGAGGAGGGAAGAAGGAAGGTAGGCTTTGTTCCACATCTGTCATGGCTTAGGGTGACAATAGACTGTTGCTCCTTCAGAAGAGAAAGATTAACAGGCATATATCTTAAGTTCTCCAATATTAGATTAAAGTTACTGATCTGTGCTTTACAATATTTGAATTTAAATTTGTAGTTTTCAGTTGTTATGTTAGCTCTTGAGCTAAGTTTAAATCACCCTTTCTAAAAATRGGCATAAGTGTAAGCACACAGTTGTACCTGGGGAACAGAAGTTAAGCAGCTCAACAGTTCATCATGTTTTGGTATTTATTTTACTTTTGTTTTCCCATCCATTGGATCTCATGTATGTTCACTACTTGAATCTGTCACTTCACGTCCTCTTATTTGCCTGCCTTGCCTTTAGTACAGCACCAGAGAGGTAGACTGCTCTGAGCAGCCCTTTTGTTGTGTTAAATAGCTTTGGTGAGTGCCACTTTCTCATTCCAGAAGATGCTGAGAAAATGACCTCAAAAGCCCCTTTACTGAACCCAAGAATAATACTGTTTTTACAGAAGAATTTACTTGGTAAAAGTAACATATTGGCTGGATATCTTGATATCTTGGATATCTTGCCTGCAGTATGTTGAGAGAGGGCACGTGATGTCTAAACTAAAATAAAGACTCTTCCTTTAAAAAGTTATTTATGTGATGTAGAGCAGGTCCTACAATTGCTAGGACTCTTTGTAGTGTWACTTTAAATGATGTAAAGAAATGGAGTAAGATCACTTTACTAAAAGAAACTTGCATGSATTGGAGATACAGTAGTGATGTTTCGTCCCAAAGATGGCTGGTTTTTTTCCAAAGATAATGGATGAAGTGAAACAAATTTTTTTTTTTTCAAATTACTAGTGAAAGTGTACTTGAAAATAAAACCTGAATTATTTCCCAAAAGGTTGATGGSAAGTTGTTGTGTTGGCTCTGCACACTGTCCTACAAGAGAGTGCTACAGAAGACAAAAGAACAGAGGAAGAGTCTGGGATCTTCACATTCTAACTCCTCATCCTCATCTCTTACTGAGAAAGACCAGCATCATTCAAAACACCATCACCATCATCACCATCATCATCGTCACAGCAGCAGTCACCATAAGTAAGTATYTGAAAAATTAAAATAGTTGTTTGTAGCTCTTCATCTTCTGTTTGTACTGAGATAGTAAGAAAAACTAGAATGTGTCAAAAGTAGTAGCAGAACATTGTTCTCCYCTGCCTGTCTGTCTGTCAAAATCCTCGGATCCTTAGAGTCTGACCAAAGATAGTTCATCAAAAAAAGAAAGGAATTCTTGGAGATCATTAAACTAGTTTATGTAAATATTGGTGACAAGTCTAGGAAAAAAAGCTCATGGAATGGCTACAGAAACAAGTTACTTGGGGGTAAACTTGTATTTGGGTTTCAAGGCAGTAGCTGTTGTATGGTAGCTGCTATTTTACATGTATTTGCYTTGGTTTAAAGGTACGCATTAGCAATGAGCAAACAACAGTGACATTCAGAATCCTGACTTGTTTGTGTACAAATACTTACAGTTAAGAGGAGAAGCAGAAGCGACAGTGTRGGATTGCCTTGAGTTTAGGACCAGTTTATATGTCTTTGCTAGCGTTTATAATCAAGTCTTGCTGGAATAGGCAGTTTGTGAGTGGCTGTGATACAGACATAGGGACACAAGGCTGTCAGTTCAGCTGCTGTCACTCTGAGAACATTTCACATAGTTTTGTCCCATCTTCTGCAGCTTCTCTCAACACATCATTTCTGCCCATGGTATAAACAGTGTACCAACCTTAATGTACATACCCAGTTTATTTAGTCATAAACCCCAGAATTAATTTGGGATTKTATGCTGCTATAAGAGTAGTCATGATTCTTATTTTCATTGATGGATTTATGGCAG